AAATCTCTGTGGGGCTTGTTGAGGGAAATGAGTACAATAGATTGAGTAAAGGTTTCAATGGGGTCAACATTCCCACATATCAAAAGACATTAATATCTCTTGAGCAGGTGTGTTGAAGGTTAATAGCTGAATAGGTTGTTTTCCTTTTCACATGGCTAAATCTCTGTCTGTCAAGATGTTCTGTTAACAGGCTTCTATATCAGATCAGAATGTTATAACACTACATAGCGCCACTATACAAATTAACACTGGTTGGTGTTCAACTTCTCCTCCTTATGATGATATTTCTTGTAGAAAAGGGAACATGGGGACATTTAAACAACTTATGGTTTTCTTCCCAGTCCTTGGAGATATACAGCCAAGTGTAATATCCTTAAAAGTGACTGTCAGGTTATTCACTCAGGTGGGACTTGACCAGGGATTTGCAAACTTTTGGAAAAGTCCACTGAGTTAGAAGCATAGTTGTTGGTGAAAATCTATTCAATATACATCCAACATATTTTGTCCTAACTTTAGAAATTCCCTTGACTGCTGTCCACAATCCCTGATTTAGCAAATAACCCTTATTTTATGTAGACATTCCAAAGTGCTATTTCATGTTACTACGGTTTTGGTTTTGTATGTCTAATTCATTTATAATTTTCTTTTCTGTAGGGTTTCTCTAAAAATAGGAGACTGTGTCTTGTCATTGTTAGAATGTTTGTGTGCATGGCTTTATATGCACGATTCAGGAAGATAGCACATCTCTAGAGCCGGGGAATTATGGTTACAGATTTTTTTTTTCTTTCTTTTCTATTTTTATTATTTAATATGGAACAACTATTGTCTGTTGCACATTTTTAGTTAATTTTTTTTTTTGACAATTTTTAGTTGGGTCTGTTGCACTTTTAAAGTTTACATGTACATGACAAATTCTTGTGTGTGTGCTATTGCTGTGCTGTAGGGACATGTGGTATTTTTCTTTTGTTTATATCTGATACACAGATATGACTATATTATGTGGATTATTATTTATTTTTTATTGCTCCGTAACTTGAGCTCCCTCCAATAGTTTAGTATTTACACTATTAGTAATGTCTTGGCCTCTAGTTGTTTTAGCTACTGGGTATGTGAGTGTTTGTTAAAGAAATTATTATTAAATATTCGGAGTTAAGTGTTCCATAAATCCTTTTACTTTTCTTCACTTTTTCACACTTGTATGTTAATGCCTTTATAATATATAAATTATGTGTGTATCTCTGAAATAGGTTTGTGTGGTTGATTAAGAATGCCTGTGTGTACATATTTACGCATAGACATACTATGTAATTGTGTATTCATCCATGCGTGTATTCTTATGTATTTTGTAGAGATAAATCTATATCTAATGCATCAAAGTTACTGGTCTTTCTATATAGAATAGGAACATTTATTGAATGTCATACAAAGTGTGTGTATCATGGTTTTAAAGTCCCATGGAAATCTTCTAGAAATGTGATTTAATGACTTATTGTCCCTGTAGACTCTGCTTTCTCAGAATGTTCTATTGGATTAATTGCAAATAAACACAGCTAATAGGTATTTGGGGGTACTTTCTAACTTCACTAACTCTGTATATTTTCCATGAGGATTCGATGTATAAAATGTGAGGTACTGGTTCTTTTAATTACTTATTTTTACACCATACAAGATTTTAAATTTGAGGGTATTTTTTTTTTTTTTCCTTCAAATTATGTAAATGATACACATTTTCACTATTGGTGAACTATTCTTTTTGAACCTTCTATAACATTTCAAAAACTGCACCTAAATTATATATAGTACAAGTTTTATAAGGCTTATTTATTTATTTTCTATATATAATTACAGTTCTCTCTGAAAAATCTGTTCTTTCTCAAAACCTACACAATGTCATGGAAAATATGTAAAAAAGCATAAATGTCAGTCTTTAGTTTTCCTTCCTATATAACTTCTTAAATTGAGTTAATCTTGCCTAAGTTCAAATGTCCAACCACAGACAGCTGGGAGAAAGCAATGTTTTATGTTTTGTTTGTTTTTGTTTGGTTTTTTTGTTTTTAAACTTCTTTGTGCATCTGAATGCTGCTATCTTTATTTGGATGCATGGTTAGTGATTTATGTTGCTACATATGTATATATTTGACATATTTCTTTATAGTGTTTCAATTTGGCAACCACAAAGTTACTTACAGTGTCTGATATCTGAGGGAATGTGGACAAACTCTGCTCCCTCAAACCGGTGCACTATTTAGATCATTCATCTTTAAAATCCCTCCCACCAGTGCCAGCCATCTCCCAAGCTTCCTCACGCTCATACATACACACACACACACAGACACGCACACACATTCTCCATTCATAGAGAGCAGACAGGAATGAGGAATCTCAACATCTGTTCCCTTCTCTGTTGTAAACCTCCCTTTTTTTTTTTTTCTTCTTTTTTTTTTCTTTCTTCAACTAATAAAGCCAAACAAAACACATTGTATAACATAGACAGGGCAAGAAGAAGCTTTTGTAAATAAAACCCACGCCTTGATCAGGCAAGCTGCTATTTGGACTACATTGGTATTATATACTTGTACTTTCTTTTACAATTTTTTAGTTATTTAAGCAATAGTCAAATGCCCTTCCAAAAGTCCTCAAGTTTCCATCTAACACCTATCTATGCTTCAGTGACTGTCACCATACAGTTAAATAAGGATGATATTAAGAGATTACAGGAAGGAGACAGCTTAGTGGAGATATTTTTAGGATGCCTTCATGTGGGTGATTATAGGATTGGGGAAACTGCAGGGGATTTTGTATTTTTTTTTTTTATGGCAGGAATTTTCTGTATTTTTTTTTTTTGAGTTGTTCTCATGTACAATTTAATTTTTGTCTTGCATATTGTAAAATGTGATGTTGAGCAATTTAATAGTTTGCCCTTCTGTGGGATTCTTTTAAATAATGGTTAAATTGTCAATAAATTGCACCCCATTGTTTGACTTCTTACCTGCGGTCCTCCAGACTCCACTACCTGGCTCCACTAAATTAGTCAGAAGCTGCCGTTGGCTCACCTGAGTTAAGCAGTGCCTTGCCAGGCTTGCCTCCGAGAGCTTCTGTCGGAAGTAGTGAAGAGTGGAAACCCTGCATGGCAGAACCGAGATAAGTCAAACCTTTCTAAAACCGTTTCAGTACTTACATTGAGTAGGTGTCTGGACAGTACTGGCACTGTTGTGGTTATGGTGCTTAGGGTGTTCCTTTTAAGTTTTTTCCAAATCTTGAGATCATACAGAAAACATAGTCCTACTCCTACATTAAAATACTTAAAAGTATATTTCAAAAATTTAAAACTATGGGAAACTTGAGCAAAAAAAAATGAATGAAAGAAAACAAAAAACCACACACAAATAGGATGTGATCGTACTGCATTATTTTTTTTGTATGTTAATGTAGATGGGGAAAATGTGCATTCACATTTTTGTTCTACAAGTTGTGATCCTATTTATTTATTTTTCCACTATGCCTTTTAACTCTGGTCTTTCTTCTCGCTTTCCAGATGTTCCCTTTGCCTGTGGCTAATGGGAAGACCAGGCCTACGACCTTGGCCAGTACTCAGTTTGGAGGAACAGGTAAATACATTAGTTTATTTTCTTAACACTGATTAAAACTATCCTGCAAATAATATTACAGCAAGCTATAGATAAGCATGTTATCTGCAAATCTGTTTATAAGCATCAGTTTTATTTGTATTCTGCAAGTGCTTCTAAACCCTAGTGGAGATCTAAAAAAAAAAGTGTTGCTAACTGGGGGGGGAAAGGGAAACTTCAAAAAGTGATCATCTGATTCCAAATGAAAAGCTGCTGGTAAAAAAAAAAAAAAAATTGGCTGCATTACGAACTCCTTCTCTTGTTTAAAATTTCTACAAAATCTGTGGATCGTGTCAGAGGGAGGTTATGGCGGTAAGGTCTCTTGTGTGTTGGTGTATGCCAATGTGATGTATAACGGTCACATTCCATCCTGAGCAATGTGGTATTGTCAGTCACTGGAATTGTCACTTGCATTAAGGCTCATCTGACATCTACTTTCACTAGGTATGTAGTCATGCATATAGCTGTTGGCTGTCACGGTAATGTTTTGTTAATTAAAGTTTTTTTTGTTTTTTTTTGAGGATTATATCTTTTACAGGCGTGCTTATAGGGGCACCGTAGCGGTATCCAATGCCACATTTCAAACTGAAGTTGTGCTCTGAAAGTTTTTATTTCTTAATTTTGTGTGTGTGTGGGTTTATTTTTTATTTTTTTTATTTTTTTTTTGGCAGTACTTATGGGAAACTACAACCACTCCCCTGATTTGAGTAATTTTTGATTGATAATGCAGTCCGATTCACTGATTCTTCCCCTTTATTTTTTTAATTTTTTTTCCCTTTAAACACCAAGCATGAGACATCCAGCAATAGCTTTCCAAAAGCCGCCCCCATATCATTGTGACAGGCTGTCAGTGTTTTCATGGCTTTTAGTCCATGCTGCAGACAGCTTCTGCACCCGGTATGCTTAAGTCATGGCGTGTACCCCAGTCCAATGCTTGTCAGATTCACAATGAAGCAGTCCAGCACCACTGCCTGATTGGCCCCTCAGGCTGAGGGAGCACCCTAGATAGATAGATAGATATTGATGAATATATATATATATATATATCTTATTTTATTTTTTCTTCATGACAATAGTGTAGGGCACCAGTTTAAACCTACAATATCATCTGTGCTTTTGCTGCAGGTAAGGTCCATGTTCCAATGGCCACAGTAAATTCACTAAAGGGAAACCTCCGCACACTGCTGAGTGACAAAATTGTGGTTTATTCCGTCATCAAATATAGTGGCAACATTTCAACACTTGTGTGAACTGGATTATCACAAAAGACACTCACGGCAAAGCCACGATGCACAGAATGTTAAATAGCGGGGATTGACTTTTTTTTTTAGCCCTCTTGTACTGTTTCATCAACCGAAGGTGTCTTATGTAATGAAATATACGCATCTCCTATTCTTAAGGTGTGTCCTATAGAACATAGCGAGGAGCTTTGGGGATATTATATATTTCCTTTTTTAAAATTTTTTTTTTTTTTTTTCTCCCATTTGAAATTTATGTTCAATGTCATTTGCTCCATGTTTGCAGTTCTTAAGTCAGTGATAGCTTAAAGGGAAACTGTAGGCACTATAACCATTTTATCGCATTGCCTTTGTTATAGTGCCAGGAGTCCTCTGGAACTGTCCCTCCATTAAGTGTTTAACCTTTTTATTTAGCCGTCTAACCCAAAATACGCGTCTCTGGCCATCTGCAGTACAGCCACCTACTGGAGGTATGGCTAAGACAGAGATTACATACTTTTTTTCTAGCTGTACCAATTGATAGCAGCAATAGGGGCAGTGATGGGCTGAAGGCAGTCAGCTGGCAATATCAGCCAATTAAAGCCACCCATTGCTGCTTTGGCTTATGGTTCCCTGTTAGCAACTTAGGACTCTAGTTTAGCATTAAAAACATTTTGATACTGAATGACCGTGCCAGGGGAATCCAAACACTAGAACTAGTTCAAACAGATGAAGCAGTGCCTACAGTGTCCCTTTAATCCCTATGAATTACAGGATATAATTCAAGGGGTGATAACTTTGAAACCTTGAACAAAATGACACACATCATGAGATATAAATTCTATTTAATGCTTGTATTCACACAAACCCCTTTTGAGTTATGATCGTATATTGCTACTGGGAAAAACATTTGTCTCCTATCTATCTTTGCTCTTTATTGAATATGGATTTAATGTAGTTGGACTTCTAATTTGTAAAAATAGGATAACTGTTGTGTTTACACCATCCCTCACTTATAGCTATATTCTTAAATATACAGTAAAAGAGGACAAATCCAAGTGTGTGGTTTGTTGTTTTTTTTTTTAGAATGCATTAACCTGTTAAGAACCACGAATTGTGCATGTGATAACCATCTTGTTGCCATAGACCTTACTCTTAGTCAGAATGCCATGCTCATGTAGGGTGTGTGTGTGTATATTTTATGGTTTATAGGCAGTAGTTTGTAATGATGATTTCTGTGTTTATTTTCATCTAAAGACATTGCGGATTTATTTATAAATTTATTTTTACTTTGAAAGTTTTTGGGACTGTTGGTCATCCTCATTATATATAGTATGGTGAGAAAACTTAAAACGCTTTTACCAGCTCTGTCCTGATTTATTTTGTACTCTGAAATGTTCCATGAAACATTCTTAACTGGTAACTGTTTCAATAAGGACTATTGTTTTCACGCAGTATATTGCATTGTATTCACTTTTAACCTAAAAAGCTACCTAAAATACATTCAATTGAAAATCATTCATCAAAATTACATGTGATTTAATTATATTGTTATGCAGAGCTATCTCTTACTTGGGTTCCCATATTTAATGCCCACACCTCTGATCTGTATTTGTTAAAATAATTATAAAATATTTTGGTTGCACTCCTTCCTCCCTCCCCTTCTAGAAGCTTTTTCTCTGTTTCACTTGTTGGGGTGGCAGATCCAAGAACAAGATTTTTGCATCTTTTGGGTAATGAAACTAAATTTTTCAGCCCCTAGGGGTTGCTGAGAACTTAGGTACTTTGCAAAAGCGGAGGTATGTGTTTTAACCCATAAACATCTACACTTCTTGATGTTTAATATTTTCACCTACCAAATTGGCCAGATGTGGTTCTTTATCTTGATCCTGGAGGTATATTATTTTCACGTATTTAAAGAAGCACACTCCATTAGTTTTGGTTTTTTTTCCTTACTGTATTTATTAAAATAAAAAAAAAAAAACAACTCTAATATTAAATTTTTTTTGTGAATTAGGCTCTTCTGCTAACAGACTAACACCCACCGGAAGGTGGTGTTTTTGGCTTTCTGGTTCACAAAAGCTGGCACCCATTCACCAATCGTTTTGCACCTATAGGAACAGTCTCTCCAGCATAAAATACACGTTTTGAAAGCTGTGTGCAGATAAATAGATGGCCTACAGTTTGTGTTATGGCAACAAGAGGTCTGAAAGAAACAAAAGAGGGGAGTCTGACATCTGAAAACTACTGATCCTACTCCTCCCACAGTTCCCTCAGAATTAAAGCTCTACCCCTCCCCCTTCAGTATTTGACTCATGCATCTGACTGCTCAGAAACAGCTCACTTGTAGAGTATGTAGAGCAAGTTGTGTGCTTTCACATTGAAATTATTTAAAGGAATAGGATAGTGTGGGATGACCTAATTAATGGTCTTTATTGGGCCTGCAGATTTAAGGAAACCATGGTCATTTAGGCACAGTGTATTTAATTTTGTCTTATTTGATACATTAACAAGCTTTGTCTGATTTAAGAACTGTCCCTTTGCTGTAATTTACACTCCGATTGTAAGCTCCTTTTAAGCAGGGCCTGCTTCTCCTCTAAATATCTCCTTTCAATAATTGTAAAATGTGTGGGCGTTGCATAAATTAAAATCATGATAATACAGAGTTAAAATAATTGAAAATCACCCATAACTTGTTACATTTGATGTTCTGTTTTCTTTTTGAACCAATATACAAGTAGGGATAAGTAAACCATAAAAATTCATGAAACTGACAGATCCCATTTTAATGGGATTGGGAGATGCTAATGTCTACTAGCTGTCCTATTAAACACGTAAATGTCCAATATTACCATTATGTTATAGAGTAAAAAAAGTGGATTTACCGATTTTATGTTTGCTGCCATTTTAAACAATGAGATTCATCTAATAAGTGCATATAATGGTTTTTATACAGTTTTGTGACTATCCCTTCCCTGATCCTCGTTTTGTACACAAGCCTCTAATATTGTCTTAATCTGACGCACTGGTGTGTGGCTTTTCGTATTCATTACCTGTAACTTGTGCTGGCCATTGAAAGGCATTGCGTTAAATTAGAACTAAACCGAATATTGTAGTTATGGTGCTTGGATGCGGTGGTTGTATTCCCCTTTTTTTTGCTTTGTACGCAATGTTTATGTAAGTGTTTGTGCATGCTCATACAATGCACTAGTCTGTGACGGCTGAGTTATAGCGTGTGCGCATTTAAAGGGTCAGCAGCAATCTACATTAAAGCAATTTTTTTATTTGTTTTGTTTTAGTTTCTTATGACATCTCAAGTTTAGGGGTAGTGAAAAAAAAAATAAAATATATATATATATATATATATATATATATATATATATATATATATATATATATATATATATATATATATATATATATATATATAATAGTATAATCCAGCGCACGCACTCATTCACTAAATATAATAGGCTAATGCAATGTATGATCATATAATGTAACGCCCCTTCCCCAAACCTCCCCCGTCCCACCCCAAATTATTTTTACCTAGGTGAGAAATTTAAGAAAAAAACCACTTGCGTTCTGTGAGCTTTGAAATTGCTGTATAGTGAGTGCTCTGGATCTTGTATATTGTATGAATTGGCTCCAGCAGCCCAACAGCACACTCATAATGTATGCATGTTCAGGTGAATGCAGCTTTCTTGGTTATAGTTCAGGCAGTGCATGTCTATACATATTACTAAAAGGGAGCTGCCACTTGTTGGGATTTTTAATATCATCTTTGCTTATATATTGCTTATATTTAACAAATATATTTTCGTGGGGTACGAAAAATAGTTAAGTGTCGAATATTTACTTTTAATCCTGCATTTGTATGACTCCATCTTAGTTCCCTGTCAATCATTGTTCTAAGCCCTGTGCTTTGCACCTGGCAGTCGGCATAGAGAAGTCTTGCAGTGAAGAGGAGACTTGAAACAATGTTTCTATTTGTCCTACTCATTTGCTGTGTTTGCTCTGGCTTTGCCTTGTCTGAACTCGACTATGTTAAATATTTAATATACATGTGTAACTTTAAAAGAAGAGAAAAAAAAAATTTTAATTTTTTTTTTTACCCCTCCATTTTCTTTTAGACAAGTTATAGCTGAGTTTTGAATCTTATTCAGCGTTTAATTCCAGAGAAGTGAACACTCTCCTAGCATCCCCTGTTTCACTTTGTTTCTTGGCCCCAAGAATAAAAAATGTCCTGCCATTTCCTAGATGAGGATTATGGCCGTTGGTTTATGATGGCAAAAATTATGACACAGAAGAAAGTATAGTAGTTTTAAAGGAACATAATAACTCTACCTCTCCCCTGAATGCCATGTGATGTTCTCTTAACACTGGCACCTTCTATATTTACACACCTCTAACTTCAAATCATGTACTTCAATATCATCTATATGAAGTTTTGTTTACAGAAGGTGTACCACATTGTTTTTTTTTGTTTGTTTTTTTGTTTTTTGCTTTGTTTGGTTGTTTGTTTGTTTTTTTTGCCTGCATCTAACATTGTAAATGCTGAAAATAAACACTTTTTTTTTTAATTTAGAAAGTAGACTTGTATTTCAGCGTATTAATTGGACATGCATGTAATATAAATGGGTGTTTAGTATTGGTACAATGAACTATATTTATATGATTTATTAGGTTACTTTAATCTTAGGGCAGTTCCATGAGATTGTTTCACTCTTGTACAGCAACTGCTGTTTTGTACTTCCTAATTTTTATTAACCTTCCAGTGACATGCAGCAATAGTTGCTTGGAGAGACAGAATCAAGATATTCATCTATCTTTTTGTGAAGTCATATGTATAAATACACAGCAAATGGGGTTATGGCGTGAGCCAATTCATACAAACCCCCCACCCCCCTTCCATCCTGTTTTTCCTCCCTATGTAGTTCCTTTAAAAAGCCCTCCTCCGTCCCTCTGCAGCTGCTCAACTCCACACCTACTTTTTCTCCAGCCCCTAATCTCCTCTGCCTTCCTCCCTTGCTTTATTCCTTCTCTGTCCTTCTTTGCCTCCAGTCTCCCCCAATCCCTTTTGCACACTCCCCTCATCTACTCTTCTCCTTGGTATTTCCCTGCTCAGTTTCCTTGTTTTGTTTGTTTTGCAAGCTCTTTATAATTTTTTTTTTTCTCTTTGCTTAAATTGGAGTAGCAGCTGCAGAGAATTCCAGGTGTTGTAAGAGAGCCCAGTGCTGTGTATTAATGCATATCTATTTGCTGCAGCAAAAAAAAATAATACAGACGGCACTGTAATAAAACTTTGCTCATTGATCATTTGTTAAATGTTGGTTTGTTGGATTTATTTGAAAATAGGACTGGAGCTAGACATATAACATATAAGTGTGTAAATGTAAATAAAAACAAAAACTACTTGTTCCAGGGACTTAAGCAGCAGCACAATCTATATGTTCTTACACTCAAAACAATTTCATATTAGGAAACCTGCCTAGAGTCCTGGACATTGACAGGGTTGTTTACTAGAGTTTTATCCGAGACAAAAAAAAGCTTATCTGTAAAATTCTCCAGCTACATTTTAGTCACAAACTGGAGCAATTCAAATTTAACATGTGAATAGCTCTTAGTGACTCACTCTGTCTAACCTCCCCCCATAATTTCTCCCTCTGCCCTCTCACAGTGTGTTTGTGGTGATGGTGTGCATAGTGAGCACCGGCTGTGTGTGTGGTGCATACCATGGCGCTCAGTCAAGCTACAGCCACCATTATTCCCAGCCTGAGCTGTTATTTATTACGGAGTCACTTTTTGAAAAGGAGTGATTTAATGTGGTATGTTCCTGCTGGAAGTGCAGACCATGTGCTCCTTACCTGGGCCCTAACCCTCCAAGTCCAGGTAACTGGGCTGAAGGCCGAAAAAAGATGTCTCCCTGTGGCCCAAGTCCTGGGCATTGGGCTATAGGAATTCCACATCTCGGAGTTCCACATTACGGGGAATGATCGTTCTGCACAGACAAAGCTTGAGCAATATAAATGTATAATTTTTATATACCTTTTTGTTGCATTTAAAAAAAAAAAAAAAAAGTAAAAGGCGTATGGATCAGGAAATATTTGTTTTTATATGTACACATAGTATGTTAAGTTTCTTGTTCTTTATGGCCTTGTGTTGGAATTTATGACCCTAAAAGCAGATGTTCTTCTAAAGAGAGATCAAGTCCCCTTTCCCTCCCCCATTCTCTCAATCCACCCAAAACAGAATCCAAAAATCAAGTAACCCCTTTACTCCTATAAGGGTCATGGGTTAATGTGTACTAAGTGGTGGGAGGGTCAAAGCCAGCTTTCATAGTCAGGCAGACCTTTGGAAAGAGGTTTGAGATATGTAGGTGAGGATGCCTATCCTACTGACAGCCTGGTACTATGCAGATGCTCGGTAGTGCAGCATCTTGTGCGTCTACGCTGTGACTTGCTTATATTTTTTTTTGCTTGCAAGTAGAACTGTTCAGGATGTGAAAGGAGTGTATGACTGTGTGTATGTATATGTATGTATGTATGTGTATATATTCACGAAATGATAACGGAGATGCATCAAAAAGACAATCCACTTACTGGTAATGCAGAAAGCATACATAACTATCCCTATCAGAATGTATACATTGTATCAGTACATGACAATGGAACTAAAAGTTTTGGGTGAGAATCTTCAGAAGTTTTTATTATTCACAGGCCAATTAGAACATTGATACATTGTATCCCTATTGCTAGTAATTGCTGCTTCAGATATAAATTGATTAGCAAGCCCTGTTCCTTATTATATATATATATATATATATATATCCCTTGGTATTTAGTAGCTAATACTCAGGTCTACTAAACATCTATATTAATTTTGCTGCCTAGTTATATAAAGCAGAGGACAAATAGGCTAGATCTCCTATAAAAAAAAAAAAAAACTCTTCAAATCTCACAAGTCTGGCATTCTCCTTAAAGGGACACTAGTGCCAGGAAAACAAACTTTTATCTTATATCTTCCTCCTCCCCATCATGGTGCAAAAGGGGTGATCACCTTCTGTCATTTGCCTGGGTCCAGCCTTCTCTCCTCATCCTCTCCCACCGATGGGAGAGACCTAATGCGCATGTGCTGCAATCGCATTAGTATTACCCTATGGGGTTTTTAGGTGACGCTAGACATCCCCATGCATAACGTGAGGGTGTCAGGTGGCAAAAAGTTCCCTAACAGCCTAGAAATCACCCTAGTGGCTGTCTGGTAGATAGCTATTGAAAGGGGAAGTTAACCCCGAGCAGGTAATTTTTGCAGTTTTTAAGAAAGTGCAATAATTACCCACTAGTGTTTAAGGGACATGGGACTGTGCACCCAGTCCACGTAAATGAGCTGAAGTGGTCTGGGTGCCTACATCAATGGCTTTGCCTAGATAGAATTTAAATGAATAGCGACATCTGCTACTAAGTACCTTAGTTGCCTCTAAGCTTGTAAGGCAACCTACCATACCCCAAGCCAAGTACTGTATTCACTAAACTATAAGCACAAAAATGCATCCTCAACCCACACCTAAAGTGATAAAAGTGAGAGAAAATTAATAACAAACAAAAACCTGACCCGCATTTCAGTGCAACATTACACCTTCCTCAGGAATAAAATGAGCCTAATAAAATGTGCGGATTTTAAAGGGGTTCCCGATCCCTCCCATGAAAACCTGTGTTGAATCGAATGCACGCTCTGCCTTTTCACCCTTTCGACCAATTGGTGCAAAGCAGATATCCCTTATAGGTTGTCATTTTTTAGAAGGAGGAATATGTCGCTATTCCTATATTCCAAGCACACACCCCGCAAGCTCCACCTCCACTCAAGCCCCACCACTTCCACTTCACACAAGACACTCACTCATATCTGGAGGATTGGTCTGTAGTTGATTTCCTAGGTTACTTTTAAGCTCCTCCTGATACAGTGTGTATCTATGTATTTAAATATTGGTGACATTCATATGTTGTGACTTTTGTAAAATTTTATTGTATTTTTTTTATATTCTAGAAAGAGTGACCATGTAGTTCTAAAAAGAAAAATAAGTTAACATGGGCTTTTTGCATAAAGCACATTTAGAGAAATGCCGATGTTGTGGTTTGGGAAAGAGCTGCACAAAGAGGACAAGAAACTTAAGTGACCAATTTTGGAATTGAAAGCAGTGTTTCAATTGGCTACTTTTTCAAATTATAATCTTTGTCCATGAGATCTCTATATCTAAATTTTAGAGAGTATAACAGTTTTTCTATATTGTGCTGGCCAAACATAATCCACTGTCTAAGATGTCGCTCTAAGCACCATCACTGTGAAGGTTCTGATGCAAATAATGTCCTGCCCCTAATCACTGATGATGACCGTGATCACTGCATCAATTTAATAACATTGCAACTATAAGGCAGGTATCCTTAAGCTATCTGTTAGGCAGCTGTAATCCTCACTTCCAGGTTGCCTACATACATTTTTGTCCAAGGTGTACATGTGTTGAGCTGTTTAGTATTGGTAATAATCTCTGAACACCATCTTTTAGAAAAAAAAAAAATTTAATCCTTTTTTTTTATTAAATTGTTTGCTGCTGTTATTTCTTGAACCATTTAGAACTTCATAGTTTGAATTTTGGTTTAGTGTGCTGCATGCGAGTTTGTCAGGTGTTTGCAACCTTTCAATGCTATCCAGTTCGGTCACAATTATATTGACATTGATCATGCAGAAATGGGGTTTCCTCATTATCAGTGTGGCTGAAAAGAGGCTTTTACTGGACAAAAACTGATGGCGTTTACTGTAAACTTGTCAAAATGTTTCTCAGCACTTTTTGTCCTTTTTGTTAAGCTCTTACTTGTAGAAAGTTCCTTTTTATGTAACTTGAGCCTTTCTGCTCTGATCTTCCTCCTGTGCCCTATCATCGAGAGAGTCTGAGATCTCTCCTTTGTTCCAAATTCCTTCCATGGTTGTAGTGATCTACTGAACACTAGAATATATCGATATAGGGTTATTCACTAGAGTGACATTTTGTATTTTGTTTATGTGAAGGGAGAAAAAACACTTGCAGCTTCCCATTCATTTGAACCATTTGCGCTTGTTATAAACTGTCGGCGGCTTCCATTCGCTTGTAGGTGATTATTTTTGTCAGAAAATGCTGCACATGGATTTATGAGTAACATACAGCTGTAGGTTTCTTGCTTTGCGTTTTCACCACTTTCTCTTTGAAGTGGCAAGAGAAGGGGGTGGAGGTATGGTGCAATAGATATAAGTTAAAAAAAATTTTTTTTTTTTTACTAAGCGTCTGCAATTCTGCAAAAAGTATACATGAATTTAAGCATTGCTGTTTTTCTTTAATAAAGGTCATAACATTTGTCATGAGAAAAATGATTTCAAATGGTCATTCTAAATCTTATTAGAAAGTTTATTTTTTTTTAAATTTTATTTTGCATTACTTTAAAACGGGCAAAAATCAACATTCTTTATTTAAACCGCTCACCTAGATTCACCAAGTGTAAGGGGTTTTAAAGGTACAATAGTATTTGCAATACAAAACTGAATTCCTAACACTATACTGTTCCCTGTCCTTAGATAATTGGCATGAAATTTTTTTTTTTAATATAAAAAAAGCACTTTTACGTAACTTTTTCCAGTGGCCAGACTCCCTCTGTGCTGCTTGTTTCTCTACTTCGAGTGACCTCATTGCGCCGGTCTTGCTTCCTCCATTGATGGTCCTCTCATAGAGGAGCATTGGAGACCTGATGCGCATGCACAACTAGCACTGCACGCGCATCTAATAATTCTCATTCAGTGCTTTTCTAGATATGTTTAACCCTGCAATGTAAACATTTGCAGTTTCCATTAAACTGCAATGTTTTAGATTGTAGGATCTAAACGACAGGACCACTGCACCCCAGAACATTGAGAAACAGTGGTCTGGGTGACTAAAGGGACACTCCACTGCCCAAATGAATAAAGTAAATAAAAAATCACTGTGTAGTAGATATAACGTAAACTAAAACATGCATGCATTGAATTATACATTATATTTTTTTCATTGGATTTATATCTAAAAACCGCTTGCAAAACCTGCAGCTCTCTTGCCTGCTGCTTTTGCAAGCCCTCCCCTTTTAACCCCTGCTCAGAATTTCTGCAACTGTCCAATCAGACTTCCCAGTGGAGCTTAATGAGAAGTCTTTGCAAGGCAGGTACTTTGGGCAATGTTTAGCTCTACTGAGCTAAACCAAACCAGCAAGTAACAGGGCCTGTTGTCTGCTTGACCGCCAAGTGGGTGTAACCATTTCAGTAAATAAGTGTTAATTTCTATTTAAATCTGCCATTTTTGCAAAATGGGTGGGGGCGGGGGGAAGAGGAGGATAGACTCTTCACACATAAAGGTTTTCAGCAAGCTTAAACTTTGTGTTGCAGCAAATTCACACCAAAAATGCTATTCACTAACTGGCTTAACTTTACTATGATGCTATTTAGTAAAGATTTTTGCCTGTAGCAGGAGCCCACCATAAAATCTGCAAAAACATTTTGTTTGCTAAATGGTATATCTGTTTCAAGAGTATTAGACTTTAAAGCATAAATGCTATGCCTAGTGAAACGAGGTGTATATACTCTCGCTAGGCAAGCACCACTACTAAATTTAAACACCTGCGCATCTCATGTCAGACTGTAAGGTCTGCCTGGGACATGAAAACTTGGAGAAATCATGTTTTCACAACTATCCCAGAATCCCAGACTTCACATGCAAATAAGCGCAGTCTGCATTGTTTCAAGGGACACTATAGTCACCTGAACAACTACAGCTTAATGTATTTGTTCAGGTGAGATCTATAGCTCCCTGCAGGCAATCTAGTACAGTGTTTACATTGATAGGAATACCTCCAGTGGCCGTCACTCAGACGGCCACCAGAGGGACTTCCTATCATGTAGGGCCCTAAAAAGGCCTTGTACACGTCAGACGTATTAAAATACGTCTGACGTGTGCAGGAGAGAGAAGGCACTGTGTGCGCGCCTTCTCTCTCCTGCCTGTCAGCAGAGGAGAGGGGGCAGGCAAAGACCGCGAGCTGAGCTGTCAGTCAGCTCAGCTCGTGGCCACGCGCATGTGCGGTAGTGCGCTCAAGACTTCAGAGGGCGGCATGAATGCCGCCCTATGAAGTATGTGCGGCGAAGCTGCGCATGCGCACCAGGGAGCAATGACTCTTCCATTTTGACGAAATAGGGGGCGAGGCTCCCAGCGCTGGAACCAGGTGAGTAAACTACTCTGCCTGGAGAGTCCCTTTAATTTCTACAAAGACTCTTAGCCGTGCATCCAAAGTGTATGCTATGATCCAAAAGGACCAGTGACCATAAACAAACAATTGACTGTCCAGTTGCCTGCGGTGGTGCACAGTAAAAAAAACTTGTTGGCCTGGACCCAAGTGGGTAGTAAGGGAAGCCAAAGATATAATTTTTTTTTTTTTTACTCTGTAAAGTAGGGCCCATCAAGCTGTTATTAATTCACACCGTATGTGGTGCTGGTCCTTTTTAATACATATTACCCTGCCCACAGCCCATGTAATTGAGAAGGAGGAGAAGCCGCTCATGGAGTCTCTGCTAATATCATTGGTGGTGGTTCTGTTTTTTGTTTTTGTAGTGGGGCCCATAGATCCGAACAGCAGTTAGTCTGAGTCTGTTGTAAGTTGCTTGTGTATTGAAGTCAAATTGGAAATACGAATATGTCACAGGAATATCAAATATGCTATGTGGGTTGTTTTTGGTTTGTTTGTTTTTTGGCACTTCAGGCATGTGAGAGCATTTTATGTGTTGTCTTAAAAATTAGACAATGATGTGTTTTTTGAGTACAGGGATTTATTTTAAGTTAGTTGACTGATAATTTTATTCTGAAGATGTAATGCTAAATCTCCCCATGGTAATTGTGTTACTTCTATGGCTAACCTTGCCACCGCAAATGTCTGTGGATTGTACTTCCCATAATGACTGCTGTATCATGGGAAATATTATCTAAAAGTATCTCCACTACCAATTTTAGCCAGAACAGGCTTACACTGTTACACTATTATTAGAGTATGGTCCTTAAGAGATGTATGGTAGAGTAAAGGTGATTTTTCTAAAGTTTGTAATGGTTTCCATCCTCTTATTTTAACTGTGTACCGGTAACCTAACAAGCTGCTTGGTCAGAACTCTCTAATTACCAGCCCTCTTATGCTCTTTGGCAATCCCTTTAGTGCAGACTGCGAGAGAGACAGATTATGGTCAAAGCTGCTTAATTTTAAAGTGTTTATCAGACAGCCTTCTGTTGCCTCAAGTACAGGCCTTCACCGACGGGCCTCTTCACTCCTGCCTAACATTGGGTGAGATGTTCGTGACCATAAAAATTAATTCAAACTGCAACATTACAAAAATGTAAATTACTTCTACACAAAAATAAGGCAATGAAGAAATTGGCTGGGGTTTAGACCTTTCATTTTGGTAGTCAACACTTCTACTCAATACTCATCTATTGAAGCAAGAGCATTTCCACATGCAACTATGGTTGTTTATAAAATACTTTGTTTCAAGCAGTATCCATTTTAAATGCCGGAGGACATGACCTAAAATCTCACATGCTCGACACACTGCTACATTGACTTTTCATACAATCCAAAGGAGACTTCTGATTGCCTTCCTTTACAAATGTCATTGTCATGGTGGTTGGAAGGTGCAATAATTCTGTAATCTAGAACAGATTATTATGGATACTGTAGGTATGAAGATTTTCATATCGGTTTTATGTATTCTCTAGTACTTAACTTAATCTAAATCTGTAAAGGAAGCTGTATTTAAAATGAGGTTAGTTTAACAAACCTCTTTCAAAGGCATGCACAATCTGGACCAGACAAAATTCTTCATCTTGCTGTGCTTCACTCCTGTGCGCTTTGTCAAATGTTGTGTGTCTTATAGGACCTTCTGCATTGATTCTAGTGGGGCTCATTGTGGTTCATGTAATGACTGTCATGAAAGAGTTGGGATGAGCAGAGACTGGACAGGGGGGCGCAGTTCTGCCCAAATAGGACTCACTCCTGTACAATTTACAATATCTTTACTTGTTACGGAATCTTTATTCCAAGCAAAGGTACGAAGGACATTTACCTGTTTTGTTCTGGGGTTTTTTTTTCCCTCCCTTTTCTCTTGTTTATGTCCTATTTATTTATTTATTTATTTATTTATTTATTTATTTATTTATTTTTATATATATATTTTTTTGTAATCTTTAATGACTTTTTTTTTACTCCTATTTGACCTAATCTGATTTGTATTCTCCAAATACCACATTTAAAATAAAGATTGACCAAAAAAGAAAGCGGGTGGGAGGGGGGGAAGCCATACATACGCACCCACGCATGCACATATGTATGTAGGTGTTGAACTATTGTAGTGAAATAAGATTTATTGAACTGTTGCCTGTATGGCTTTTGTAGAAAACATGGTTGCTTCTTTCTCGATTCGATTCATATCTAGCCTTTTCAGCAATTTTTTGAAAAAAAAATATTTGAAGGTGAAAAACAAGTATATTTAACCCCTTCATGATTCCCTTTGTTCCAGAAGTTGTGTCCTTAAGGGGTTAAATAGTCTATGTTCATCCATTAATCTTTAGTTTATTAGGCTTCAAAGTTACAACACATGAATCTATCCTCTCTACCCACCCACCTATTTTTTTTGGTATTTTTTTCAGGGTACAAGCATGCCATCTATAGGCTCTAACTATAAAACCTGATACTTAGAAATGGATGCATGCTTACAAAGGAGAGTGCTTAAAACCTGTCTCTGCACAACTGCTGCTGACTGTTTCTTATATTTATAGTTAAATAGGAAGGAATTTATTTTATACAGCAATAAAAGGGGGAGGGGGGAGGGGAGAATTGATGCCAGATGCATTATACTTCAAAGATTAAAAGTTTACTGCCCGAAATGAAGATTCGTAGTAGAGTTTGTTATACCAATAGAAATCCACCCATCCCATGGCAATATAAAGGATCATAAAAGCACAAAGTTGACATGCATTCAGGGGTCACTGGTAGAAATTATTAAAGCATGTTATCTTGTTTGGAAATGGCAAATATTGGACTGTAAGCGTTCATCTTGGTAAAATGTTAGAGAGACATTATTAATACTTTTACAGGTATAGTGTTTGTATTTATATGACTTGGCACTTAGATTTTTTTTTTTTGGGGTGGGAGAGGTTGGTTTTTGAATTTATTATTCATATACACATTTAAAAAAAATAAAAAAAAAAATTATATCAACGGCTCTTTCTTGTCCTTAAAGGACCACTATAGTGCCAGGAAAACATACTCATTTTCCTAGCACTATAGTGCCCTGAGGGTGGGGGCACCCCCTCCCGCTAGGCTCTGGGGAGAGGAAAGGGGTTAAACTTACCTTTTTCCAGCACTGGGTGGGGAGCTCTTCTCCTCCGATCCTCCTCCTCTCCTCCCATTTGGCTGAATGCGCACGCGCGGCAAGAGCTGCATGCGCATTCAGCCGGTCTCATAAGAAAGCATTTACAATGCTTTCCTATGGACCCTTGCGTGCTCTCACTGTGATTTTCACAGTGAGAATCACACAAGCACCTCTAGCGGCTGTCAGTGGGACAGCCACTAGAGGAGTTGAGGGCTGGATAAACCCTATTATAAACATAGCAGTTTCTCTGAAACTGCTATGTTTATAAAAAAAGGGGTTAACTCTAGCTGGACCTGGCACCCAGACCACTTCATTAAGCTGAAGTATATCTCTCTGATACTCCTATCGAGAGAGAGTGCAACTTGATGCAATATTTCTCGGATTATTAGAGGTCAGGAGTTTGTTTTATGTGCTCTACTTATACTGTTTTTGTGTTTTGTTTTTTTTAAATTTATATTTGTATAGGAGGCCCTTGTTTCACATGTTTTATATTTGAGGAGGTAAATAATTTAACCAGGGTCCAGGCATGTATAGTTTAAGAGACTGTAAGCTATCACTTACTGGATTACTCCCTCCTCACAAGAACTATATCTCCATGACGTTAAAGGACCACTCTAGGCACCCAGACCACTTCAGCTTAATGAAGTGGTCTGGGTGCCAGGTCCAGCTAGGCTTAACCCATTTTTTCATAATTATAGCAGTTTCAGAGAAACTGCTATAATTATGAATGGGTTAAGCCTTCCCCCTAATCCTCTAGTAGCTGTCTCATTGACAGCCACTAGAGGCGCTTGCGTTTCTCACTGTGATTTTCACAGTGAGAGCACTAGCTCATAGGAAAGCATTGTAAATGCTTTCTTATGAGACGCTGAATGCGCAGCAGCTCTTGCCGCTGCGGCGCATTCAGCCGGCGGGGCGTAACGGAGGCGGAGAGGAGGAGGAGAGCTCTCCGCCCAGCGCTGGAAAAAGGTAAGTTTTTACCCCTTTCCCCCTTCCAGAGCCGGGCGGGAGGGGGTCCCTGAGGGTGGGGGAACCCTCAGGGCACTATAGTGCCAGGAAAACAAGTATGTTTTCCTGGCACTATAGTGGTCCTTTAAGAGTCAGCAGTCCCTGGGCACCATTTTGTTTATGGAGTTAAACCAGTTTTGAGCTGTTTAAATACTGACCTTGTCCCATTTATGAGAGCTATAGCTGCCTCCTCTGACTGCCTCTGTAATCAGGAAAGTTGTTTTTGTTTTTTTTTTTTTTGTTTTTTTACCTTGGCATCTGGAAATAGACTAACTTTCTCTACCACTGGTCTGCCCATTGCAAGTAAAATTTGCATACTGTTATTTGCAATGGGCGGCATGTTGATAGGCTGAAAACGTCGGCTGCCAAGACAAAACCTTACTGATCACTGAGCTTGCTGCAGGAAGAGTAGGCATGGCTGATTGGCACCCTGGGTTGAGACTTCTATTATAACCTTTTGAAAATTGTGAGATTAAGTTATGGGGTCTGGGGTTTTTCTTTTAGTGTTTGACTTACTGTCACACTCATGGTGAATCCTAATACAAAAAAAACATTTTGCTCTAAGCTTCACAACAACGGTGCATAATGGCAAAGTTTGGGGTGCAGAAAGTACCTTGCATCCACAGTCAACTCAGAGTTGTTCTGAGAGTTCTTAATTATTGCAGTTTTTTTTTTGTTTGTTTTTTTTTTTAATCGCCACAGCTATAAGACAGCCCTTTATGCTGACAATCAGGCAACCAAAATGCTCCATTCCAAGCTGCCTGTGTCTGGTATTCCAGGCTGTCTTTAGATTTAATTCACACAAATATCGGAATTTAGTGAACCCTGCAAGAGAGCCAAAGATGCACACGTGGGTGGATGGTAGCTCTGCTGATTGCTGCATGTTGTTCAGTTAATTGAACCACACTATATGATAACTGATGACATCCCCAATATGTCTGCTATGCATTTTAAAAAAATATCTATTCATTCTGTACGGTGGTTTAAGAATAAGTTCAGATGCCCTTATACCAGAATGAGAGGCTCCTTATTGGTTAAAAAAAAAATCTGTCTGCAGTAACTGAGCTGAACTGTCACTTTTGTGCTATTTCCTTGTTCCTTCACCTAATACATGTTCCACTTTCTGGGTAACATAGCCTCCCTATGATGTCTCTGATACTCATGCACTCTTGGGCATCTATGGAGAAATTCCATAGAAGCATGTGTGTCATAGGCACAGCTCTGCAGGGGTTAACTAATTTGCATGCTTTGCCCGGTGTGGCTGGCAAAGTAGTTGATTAAGATGCAAAGTAATCTAGAATGAATTTAAACATAAAATATATAACTAGCTAGCTTTTACTTTGCTATTCAATTGTAATAAAATTTCAGTGACCGTTCTTTTAAAAAAAATAAATAAATAAATAAAAAAACTTTAGAAATTTACCATTCAAAGGGTTTTTTTTTTTTTTTGTATAATGCATTTTAAAATCTTGGAGGTCAATTTTATTTATTTGTATGGTTTCTCTTTAACTCTAAGACTTCTGTCTTAAAGGATTAGAGATTACATCCAACTTCCTACCTCCTATGATCCTTTTTTTTTTAACCATTTTTGTTCAATTTGTTACCAGCGAAAACTGCAGTGGTAATCTAATAGAAAATCAGTGTGCACACTCTTTGTGTATGTGTTCATGCATACTGCTCCTTTTAACAAAGGTAATGGGTTAAAAATTTTATTTATTTTTTACTCCGGTCATACCACGCTGACCTCTTTTTTTCCAACAAGGTTTCCTGAAGTGTTGGCATCTTTTCCCATTTTAATAAACCTTGTATTCTTGTGGTACACATGCTGCCTGCCTTACCTTGCAGAAGCAGCTGGAAAATGAAAATGTGAAGAAACCGCCATTTTTGTATCCCACATAAACCTTTACATTGTTCTGTATTGCTTATAGACGGATGCCCACATAACCTAAAATTTCTGTAATGAGTGCTAAATTCCAGATTCTTTCTAGATTTATTTTTCCTAAACGTGGCGTTTAAAAATACTTAAAGAAAATACATTTTTATTTTAAATATCAGTGTTACAAGCCATGGGAATGTTAAATATGGTAAGAGGGTTCACAAGGAAAAATTTAAAGTAGGAGGGGGAAGTGGCACTTCAAAACAGGTAAGGTTATTTATGAATCGATATTTACTGTAATTTTACTGCCCCAATATCTAGAGCTAGCCCAGAAACGTGTGAGAAATTTACACATAGATTCCTGTATTGCTATATGGAATAATCTCTTAATGAGACTCCATGGATCTTGCCCATGTAATAAATTAAATGGTCAAAGTTCTCCATGTTTGTTTCTCTTAATTTTTGCACTTTATGACAAATCCATATTTTTGCAAACCAAACAAATGTACAAATGTTGGGAGGTACACTGTAAAGAAATTATGGAGTTCTATAAATGACAGGCTATTTGCACTGGGCTTTCAAATGGGTGATAATGCCTTCTTGTTATCATATTTGCATTGTAACTGACTAACCTGGGAATGATTTAAGCTGAGAAGTGAATTGCAACTGAAAATATTTTGAGTTGGAGATTTTTAAATTTATTTATTTTTATTCTACCTCTCCGTTTTACAGTATATCAAAGCAGTTGTGATGGAAAATGCAATAATTTGACTCTTCGTGAGGTTTAGTTGATTTATTATGAGAGATTCTGAATTTGGCTTGTTGTTTACCCATCCCCCCATGCAACATTCACCCATTCCTGATAGTTATATTCCCAGGGCATTAGAAAGCCATAGACTTTTTAAATCATAAAACTCCTTTTGTGTTCTTTTAGTCTCTGCTGTGAAGTAATCAGCCTAATGAATATTTATGTGTTTGTTGTCTGGGGTGGGGGGGGGGAGAAGAGCATTGTTCATGGGAACTGAAAACCCCTTATTCTATATTGGGCCATCCACAGTAAAATTTATTGTGAAATTTGGTTTTACTGCGTGTTAATAACTGAAATTAAGAAAAAACAATGTATAATAAAAATTAGGAATTTAAAAAAATATATATATTTTCACAAACCCCATGCGCGCCCACCCACCCCCAGAGATGAAATGGTCTGGATGCCTTTTAGTACGTAGTATGTTGAGTGGCATTGTCTTTCCTATATTTATTTTTGCCATGTATTTCAGTATTCTAAAAGTTTGTTGTGGTATGCGTGGTTTGTTTTTCATTTTTATCTATCTATTTATCTGTGGGTTTGAAAGGTGAGTTTTTACTTTTCTTTTCCGCCTTTGCAGTCTCCGTCCTGCTACACCACCTCTTTGGCTCAGATCATTATGATTGATGATCTCCGTCAATCCAAGTTTGGGAGGGTAGTGTACATGTGCGTCAAAATGCAGGCCTGCGCCAATCAGACAGGTGCTCTCTAGAGAGTCATTGGTCTAGGACGAAGTTTACCTCTGTTAACACACCTGCGCTTCCGCAGCTCTAACAAACGTTTCTACAAAAGTTTATTGCATGGTTAAAACTACAGGGCCACTGCACCCAGACCACTCCATTGAGATGAAATGGTCTGGATGCCTTTTAGTACGTAGTATGTTGAGTGGCATTGTCTTTCCTATATTTATTTTTGCCATGTATTTCAGTATTCTAAAAGTTTGTTGTGGTATGCGTGGTTTGTTTTTCATTTTTATCTATCTATTTATCTGTCTATCTACATATTAAATCCATGTAAAGCAAGCACTGCAATCTCCTTTTGGAAATGCAATTGTGATTAGAAAACAAACTGTTCTAAAACAGGCCAGCCTATCATCTCTGGGGAATGTGAATTCACAGAGCAGTTGTGTGCAAGGCATGAAAATATTTATTCTGTTGTTCGTGTTCAATATATGCTTGCATACATAGGCTTTCTACTTTGCCAGCTGATAATCAACTAGTGCTATAACCTTTGTAGTTTGTGTGTTTTGACGATATAATTAAATATAAAAAAAATATATATATATATATATATATATATATATATATATATTTTAAATATATAAAATACTGTACATCGCCTGCCTTGGTGTATCACAACCTTATTTGTCTGAGATGTATAGAATGATGCCCATAGAATTTTCTACTGACCGTTTCGGCCATACACCATTATCTGTCAGTCTTGGACCACAAATATATCTGGCTCTTCTCCACATCTGAACTGCTCAGTAATCAACATTTTTATTTTCTCACTCTCTTTCCGTTGATTAGAAAACAAAATGTAAAGGAGACAGGATGAATATTCATGAGCTGCAGAGATTAATATGCATAATTATGCAAATTAGGCAGCAATTAAACCACCAATCCTCCAGGGTGGAAGGGGAGGGGGGAGAATCACAGGCACAAAAGACACTGGGGTTGCAGACTGTAATTTTTGTATTTTATTTTTTTTCCCTCAATGTTTCTGGTTAAATGAGCAGTATAAAATGAACATGCTTTAAAGGGGGTTTGTGCATGTGTATATATGTACCAGGTGTTTTTATCCCATAAGTAGAGAAAGGCATGTGTGCGGAGCAGTTCATATCTGTGCCCGAATATCCAAATGAACGTTTCAATCCATTGCTTGACTAAAGTTCCTGGGAATTGGAGTGAATGTTGACCACTAGAATATCCCAAATATGGACTGAAATATATTGGCAATCCTTATGGCCGTTGCTTCATATATACCTACATACAGGTTTAAATGCATTTGCGAAGTGTGCTCTGCACTACAATATTCCATGGACAGAGGCATAATTTGGGAGATTATATATAGTGCTTGAATACTACAGCTCTAATCTTTTCAGTAAGTATGATACTTGTATACAGAGGGAGAAAAGGTCATCTCTCTAAAAAGGCAAAGAAAAGGTGTTTTTTATTTAAAAAAAAAAAGAGATGGAGTCTTAACTGTTTAGGTATTAAGCTAGGTATTCGCTAGGCACTATGTGGTTTGTCTATATGTTTTATATTGCGAACAAACTAAGTAAAAGGCCCTTTTAGTTCTAAACAAATCTAACAGTGGAATGTTAATTCAGCCCTGCAATATATTGTAGTTTTTGTGAGCTCCATCTTACTTACAAGGTTTTTTTGTATTAGTGAAATACTTTACTATTTGCTTACATTTCCGTTGAATGTTGGACATATTAACTAATAGGCAAAAGTGTGCAAAAAGCCCAGACAGGTGTGTGTGCTAAGGTGTGAAGTATCTAGATTGCGAGCTGTTGACTTTTACAGGCAGACATTAGTTGTGAGATGTGTTTCCAGGAATGGCTGTTTTCCTAGACGTCTGTTTTAAAGGAAGATGCACACATACCCGAGCAGTTGTTCCCCTGAGGGTCAGTAGCCAAGGCTGGTTACCTGCACCTGAGCACTACATTCCCTTGTCAAATTAAACTCTAGGTACAAAGCAGCTCTGTTATCTTATTTGTGAGCAAAGTGGTAATTTCCTTCAACACGATTTGTCTGGTGGTAACATTTGTACAAGCATGCCAAGTAATATAATAGAAGTGAAGTTGTGTGCATGTATGTGTCTGTAATCTATTTTAATGATTACTATTTAAGTTATTACCAAATGTGGCATCTGATGACCGTTTTTTTAAAAAGTGGGTTTTTTTTTTTGTTTTGTTTTGTTCCCTTTCAAATACATTTTGTTTATGGAGTACTCTATATTATCCATTAATAAGCCACAATAATGCAGTGTAATATAAAGTGCTCTAACAACTGAACTCTGAATTGGCAACTGATGTTTAGTATTTTATTTTTATTTTTCTTAGGGATTGAGGAAAGGACGAGTTCTGGTTCATGGGGCACAGGAGACCACAACGGATCCACGTTTGACCAAGGAAGGGTGAGTACTGAACTATTCTAGAAAGTAGGGATGGACTAATATTGTTTGGGAAAGGCATGTGTTTTTATTTTCATACCCGGGAGAACAAAGAACATTAGTGACAAGAAAACTAATGTAGATAAAATAGTTTGCTTAATAAAATGAATATGTGATACAATTTATCTATTGGTTTTAATGACCATATTTGTTTTATCCACAGTTTGGTGGGTCCTCATCTCTAACACTGCCACAATTTCACTCTTTCATTTGCCATTCTCAATTTTTGTTTTCTTTTCCCTCTACCCCGTAGGGATATGGCGATGGGACACACTATGGGGAACACAGAGACCTTCCATCACACGAAGGGAATATGTCCTCTTCTCCGTTTCTGGCATCCGGACTTGTGGGTAAGCATTCTTGAGGGTGATGGGCTAAATTGAGAGTTTACGTCGCCACCAACCGTTTAGCTGACGATTACCCCATTTGGTGGGAAAATCCTGCTTTAAATTTTTGTTGCACTGCTAATTTCGTAAACTTTCTGACAGGTAAAAATGATCGGCCACCCTATTCATTTGGACGAGACAGTGGGATGCCCTCAATGAACCAGGTAAAACATTGTAAAAATTCTTCCCACTAAATTTGAATCTAACAGTGCTTTTGTTTGACAATTGTTCACCAACTGGTTCATACACTATAAACTGTGTGCATTTTTAATAAAACTAAATGCATAACTCAAGGAAAGGGGTTTAAAGTGTGAATGACATAGTCCGTTTTATAATGTCAGCATGGGGATTTTATAAGCTTTTGTTGATTGGTTATCATTTCTTAAAATTTCTGTAGTGAATGCTTAAATATGTAGGTGCTGTGTATCTTCAGTGGAAGATATTTCTTTATTTTGTTTTATGGTGCCAAGTAGTCATGTACTTTGTGTGCACAGAAGAACAAGATTTGTGCCAACGTGGAATAGCAGGGATTTTTGTAATGAGCCGTCTAGAGATGCGTTCTTAGCTTATTTTGAAACAAAGTTGATGATTCAGCAAGAACGGGTTTAGGAGTCACAACTCCCTTCCTCCTGGTAGTTTTGGCAGAATTTAGTCAATTGTGTGCGCATTTTGTCACAATCTATTTAATAAAAAATACAAAGTGTATATATTATTATTTTGATGTATGTTTTAAGCTGCAGTTTCATAGCAAGCAATAAGCAACCTCTTATGTGTATATATTGAAATATGTATTTTTTTATTTATTTTTTACATTATTATAATGTCTAGTAGCTTCCACTCCATTTCTCAAGGTCTGTATTTGTGAAGCTGATGGAGGGAGAAAACAGTTTCCTGTTTTAGATTAAACAACCTTGTTATAATCACATATGTAGGGCACAGTGGGATCAGTGGCCTTGGAACCAAAGCGAGCATTTCATGCCATCTGCAAACATTTGTAGTTTGAATGCAACAGTGTTTTAACGTTCCCTTACCCACACACCATTTAATGGTATGTAAGAAATCCATGCGTTGTCAGGAAGAGAAATCACATGTGTTACAGAGAACGTGGTGACATTTTGAGGCTTGGTGTTCTCATACATTTATTTTATATTTTGCCACCAGTAAAATGTATAACATTGTTTTTATATGTGTGTTGCATTTCAGGCAGGATTTCTGCCCGGAGAGATAGGCATGAACAGTCCCAGTGCCCTCTCCCCTAGTGCTGGTAAAGGTGGTTCTCAGTATTACTCGTATACCAATAACTCGCGACGCCGGCCTGGAGACAACGTAGGTAAGTTGTTCCCGGCCTGTTTTACTCCATTTCTGGAGCCATGTTGGATTGGATGACCAGTGGAATTCAGTGCTGAAGTCAGCACTTGTTTTTGTATGTCAAAATAAATTATCACTTTTTTGCCAGTTATCTTCTTATGGTAAAACTATAGTCCTTTTCTTTTTCAGACACGCAACCTAAAAAAGTACGTAAGGTGCCCCCAGGACTTCCTACTTCAGTAAGTGCTACTCTGATTTTTAATTTTGTTCTTACATGTCACTTTTCTTGATAAAACACCTATACCAAAATATAGTTATTAAGGGGGCGGTCATGCTAAAGTAAAATAAATTATGAATCAAAATAAATGTCATAATGGATTTCTGCCAAGTAACTAGCCATTTCAAGGAAAGGGTCTTTGTTCAGGATTATAGGGTATCACTTCACAGAGTAACCCTGCTTATTCCTTTGTATGTATACATTTTGTTTGTAGAGTGTAGTAGAGAGTAAGAAGCAGAAGTGTCACATGTACTATAATTAAGAGAGCAGTGTTACATTTAGTCAACTTAAGCACTCCCCATTACTAGACTGATTATTGAAACTTACTAGAGTAGAAGTCAGAAAAATGACTATTCGTTTTTGTTTTTTTAAATATTTAAAATCATGTCCTTTTTTTATAGTGTATTTTTATTTTATTTTATTTGTATGGATGCTTAATGTAACTCTTAGTATAGTTTGATTTAGTTTTATGTTGGTGCCTATATCCCCTCCACTCAAAATATATTGTTGCATATTTAACATGAACTGGTGGGGAGAAAAAAAAATTACATGATACTACAAGCCCTAAAGCTTAGTTTCTGATATTGATGATGTTGAAGCATTGCGGTGAGGTAAATATAAAACACATCTCTGCACTATTTCTGTGGTCCAGGCACGAACATTGCATGCTTTTGCCGTTCCGTGTCGGATATTAACAAAACAAGGTTTCTTCCTGTCAGGGGCTGCCAGAGATTTCTGGGACATGTAGTCTTATATCCGTTGGGGGAGGCATCATCGAACCATCCTCCTCATAATTTTTATGTGCTAACATAACAAATTAAGCTTAGATTTTAAACAAAGAATGTGGGGGAGGAGGCATTAAATAGATATGTATATTTTCGCCTTAAATTTACACATTTGTAACCTGAAAAAAATGTAATAATATTCTGTGGGGAACACAATATCATTTTACATATTACAACACTGTTTTAATTAAATACCCTGCTCTCTCCCCATTACAAATTAGATTCCCTGTTCCCTCCCAATTACAAATACAAATTATCATTTTTTATTTGTTTTTTCATGTGGCAAAATATGTTCTAGTGCTAGCAGACTAATAATGGTCCCATCTAGAAATTGTTTTTGTTTTGTTCCTTTTGAACAATGGTTAGCCTTATTCGCATATCTCCAGTGATGATATCTAATGATTTCTACAGAAAGCAAAATATTTTTAAGTTTGATCTGGAATCTGTCTGTAATCGTCATGGCCTTACAGGACTTTCTTTTTTGTGTTTAGTAATAAATGAATGAAACCTTAAAATTGTAGACTACGAATTGAAATTGATTTTTAAACTGTCATTTACGTTTCACTTTCCTGTCCCTAAAATAAAGAGCTCACATTTGAGTAGGTTCTATAACCATATTTAAAAAAGCACAGTGCATTTAACCATATTAACAGACATTTAAATGACTAGCAGCCAAATGTGTTTATTTTTAGCAAGTTTCCTTGAAAACAGGTAGACGGAATTGTAAGTGCTTCAAAGGGAGGGGGGAGAGGAATGCAATGTTTCTATATAATTTAGTGCAATGCAATAATAGCTTAAGCACATACAGTAACACACAGCAGTGTGTCATGATTCCTTCTCCTCACCCCTCCCCTAAAGCTTCACCACCCCCTCTCTCCCAGCCAGACAGAGCAAAGGAAATGACTTCACTCTCCTGGAGGGGGTGAACAGCCCACCTCCCCTTTCAACAGTAATAGGGGGTTGGGAATGTGAGGAGGGGGTCTGTGTGATTTACAGCTTCCTGAGTAACTATTAACTAGTTCATTCCTTCTCCGTATCCCAATAATACACGGAAAGGTTAGATGATTCAGATAGAAAGAAAAGGGGGAAAAAAAAGTGACTATGTATTTAATTATATTAGGCAATGAGTTCAGTGTTTGTGTAAATGATTACATTTATTATGTCCTGGTCAGTGTGTGTATTTTCTATATCAATGATATTTAAAATAATTTATGCTTACAGACACAGCTTGTAATTTCTTATCTTCCTGACTCACTGTAAATACTATTAATCTTTTCTTCAAACCATATTTAGAATAACAGCTATTCGACTATGTGAACCGTGAATGTTTTATATGGTATAGCTCTTCTTAATGTAACTTTAAATGATGTTATAAATGCAGTTCCTTGCATTTAAATTGGTGTAGAAATTATTTTTTGGCACGTCGTTAATTACAAAATCAGCTGACCGCATCATATACGTCATTGTAAACACAATGTATTTCTCAGTCCTCTATAAATCTAATCTCCACTGATTTTTGTCCTATAAAAATATATGGTACAGGCAAATAGTTCATATTTCCTTTAAATATAATTTACAGAATTTGGTCAATTAGCAGTATACTACTCATACCGTGCACCATGTTTAAATAACTGCAGAATTTTAATCTGCTTTATCTATGTAGTTTGGCTGGTGGAGGTCATGGGGATATTGCAGTCGCCATATATAAAGTCATCTTGCATGCCTAAAAGATATGTTTTACAAGAGAGGAATTGCAAGCTGGAAGAAACCGGGGGAATCCGTGTTTAACTTACTCCTACATGTTGGAGTCATTAACTCTTTCCAGGTGTTAGTGCACGAGGCACTAGGACAAAATCAGGCAATGGGTTAAGACCAGCGCCATGAAACATGAGCCCTGTATCTGGGACAGGAGCTGGAAGTCTCTAGGGAGGGAGGGAGGAGCTGAATTCCTCAATGCCAAGGGATGCCTGCTCCATACATCATAGCCTAATATACTTAATCTGCTTTAAATTCTCAACATTTGGTTTTAAAAAAAAAAATGTTTTTGCTGCACCTATAGTTATTTTGATCGTTTAGCATAATGTGCTCATATGATGTTTATTCTTGTCGGTCTGGACTCCCACACTGATAAATTATGAGGGCCATTCTAAGACCAGTACTATTTAAATAAATTGCACAGTTTCTCTTCCCAGTCCAATTTTTCCCAGTTTTTGTGGTGGTTTTTTGGCCAGTGTATTTTTGTAGCTGATGTTTGGCACGGAGGTATTTGTAGTTTGGTATCAAAACTGCCAGCAAATGTGCTTGACTGGAGAGCTTACTCTAACTACCTCTACATAAACTATACACAGGGGCTATATGATACTGTTATCAAAATACATAACTGGAAATTTAGTCACACAAACTAGAACTATTCTTCCAGATCTGTCTCTTAATACCCCCTCTTCCAAGGCCGTCCCCCTGTCATATCCCCCCTCCTTTTTCTTATAGACGCCCCCTCTCTGCTCCCAGCTGCCCGCAGTACTGGAACATTGCCAAGATATGGCAGATGGTGCTGGGGGTCTGTGCCCCTCCTCCCCTCTCTATAATCAAATTATAGGAATCCAGCATTTTAATGTTCTATGTATTTTGGGATTCTAAGAGTGTTGCATCTTCTTTTAACCCCTACATCAACTCACTAATGCAGGGAAAAGTGGGCTTAACTACTAAACCTAGAGTTTTGATGTAAAACATAGGGTTTTTGAAAATAAGAACTTCAAAATGTCTTGCCTCAGCTCTACAAATTCCATACTTTCACATATTACAGTTTTTAAGACCTGAGTCCATCACCAATTAGCTTATTGCGGTTCTCAGCATATTTATCTTTCCATTATTTTATCTAGTACATTGTATGTTCACACCTACAAAGTGTGTTTTTTCTGGTTTTTTTTATTTGTTTTTTTTTTTTTGTTCTTTCTTGTCCTCCTATTTTCTCATTTGTGTTGTTCAGTTATTTGATGAATCTGTGACTGTCTCTATCCTCATTGCTTGTAACTCTTTGGCACTTGTCCCAGAGATGTAACTGGCTCAAAATTCATTTACAGACCCCCTCCTTCCCTCTTCTCTGCTTCTCTAGTTGTTACTGAATATGTTTGTAATTGGAGATTTCTGTAGGTCTTAATTTCTGTGCTCCTGTACACAAGAATCTGTTTTGGGATATCTTACATTATCATTCTATTTCTGCAGGTGTACCCCGCTAACTCAGGTGATGAATACAGTGGGGACCGGGGAAGTTATCCTTCCACAAAGCCCTCTAACGCCATTTACCCTGGGGCTTTCTACATGACGGGTCAGTTCACCAGAATCAAGGAAGACTGTGTTTTAGAAAAATATGGCATTCTCTGTATAAAGCAACAGTAATCACCAGGATGTCTTATTAGAAATCACATAGGCTGAAAAACTTGCATCAATCAGGTTCATCCTTTGCAACATCTGTTTTTGCTGTGCAAGGGAAAAAACAACCCAGTTTGAAGCCCTTTCCAATTTTGCAACAAACTAGGAAAAGATTCTTTTCTTGACCCCAGAAGGGCAGTCCGATTATCTCCTTGGTTTTAGAAACTGTTACCTCACTAATTAAAAATATCCCTAAATATTAGGTTTTTGCAAGGATTCACCCAGTTGCTGTTTAAATATCTGTACATACTCTGATAAAAACACCTCTTCAGGAATTCTACATCCTTATTGCATTTAAAATAATAATAAAAAAAAAAAACCTTTCCCTTGCCTTATATGAAATCTCCTTTCTTCCAGTCTAAATGTGTGACCTTGTGTCCTATGTATAGTCCTGTCTTTGAGTACATTTCCAGCCAATGGTTTGTATTGACCCCAAATATATTTGTAATGCTATCAAATCCCCTCTAGGATGCTGTTTTTACTTAACGAAAGATATATTTAAATTTTATCATTTCGTCATAACAAAAATACTTTATTACTTTTAGTAATTTTGTAGCATGCCTTGGCATTTTTTCTACTGCCATAATATCTTTCTTTAGAACAGGTGCCCAAAATTGCACAGTATGTTTGAGGTGTGGTCTTACTATTGATTTATAAATAGACAAAATTACATTTTCATCCCCAGAAATAATGCCAATTTTTAAACATGACAATACCTTACTGACAGTAGCAACTTCTGATTGACATTGCACATGGTTGCCCAGTTTGCGGTCTATAACCATTCCCAAATCCTTTTTGTATGTTATTCCTAATTCACTAACGTTTGGGATGTAAGTTGCTTGTGCATTCTGTATCCCAAAGTGCATAACTTTGCATTTATCAACATTAAGTCCCATCTGTCATTTGAGTGCCAAGTCCCCAAATTTTATCTAAATGAATCTGCAGCAAAATAATAACCTGCTCACATTGTATTAAAACCCTGAAAACATAACTTTCAATGCCTATTTCAAGATCATTTTATTAGTGTTAAATCAAATCTGTCCCAGAATAGAACCCTATGGGACATCATTTACCACTTGTAGTTCAGCTTGAAAATGTACCATTAACAAAATCTCTATGTACTCTATTTGTAAGCCAATGTTCTACCCAAGAACAAGATTTTGTTTATTTTTTTTATTTTTTTTATGTGGAGTAATTTCCTTTAGTTTGAGATGAGCCAAAGGTTAGACCCTCCCTCCCAAGACCTATTTCCTTCTCACACTAAACAAATCCACTCTTTATATTACACGGTTTGTCATAGCCTCCACCCTCAGGGACCCCCTCCTGCCAGGCTCTGGGGAGAGTAAGGGGTTAAACTTACCTCTTTCTCCAGCACCAGGTGGGGAGCTCTCCTCCTCTCTCCACCTCCTCTTTGGCTGAATGCGCATGCGCGGCAGGAGCTGCGCGCGCATTCAGCCAGTCTCATAGGAAAGCATTCAGAATGATTTTCACAGTGAGAAGCACGCAAGCGCCTCTAGCGGCTGTCAAAAGACAGCCACTAGAGGCTGCATTAACCGATTTTATAAACATAGCAGTTTCTCTGAAACTATGTTTATAGAAAAAAAGGTTAACCCTAGCTGGACCAGGCACCCAGACCACTTCATTAAGCTGAAGTGGTCTTGGTGCCTATAGTGGTCCTTTAACCGTAAACCTCATGGCTCAAAATTTCCAAAAGCCATTGTCAAGTGAAAATTCAGCCCTCGCAAGTAGTTCACCCCTGGTAACCGTCTCATGGACCCTCCAGATTTGCAGTGCAAAGTAACTTTTAAGGCCTGGTTAGTATTTTAGGACTTGTACATTTAAGCCTTATAGGCAACCATGTGGGAAATTACTGTGGAAGGGGACAAATGGCAGTGACCTCTTTACCCACACTGATTTCATCCCTTCCAAGTCCTAGTGACAAACATTTTGCTCTTTAACCCCTTAAGGACCAAACTTCCTGGAATAAAAGGGAATCATGACATGTCATGTGTCCTTAAGGGGTTAAAGGAGTCTGCTTCCATGTAGATCTGTGCATTTTCCAGGTGCATACATCCAATAACTGCTTCCTCATGTTACTGTAAGTAAGGTGCATCCAGATGATGGTGGTGGAGCAATGTGATCCTATGCCCAATTAATTTCTTCAATAAGAACTCCCACCATTCCATACGCACACAGCGCCATGAGAGCAATGACACTGTGCGCTGGAAAGTATTTATTTTCTCCAAACAATAGAAATAGCTTAACAGGGAGAATTGGTCATGCAAATCCTATGTCAAACATTTAGGTGAAGGGTTTTACTTCTACAATAGACTTATACAATACACATTTCAACCAGGAAACCTCTGAATTATGCAAGGTTTATGCAAGATAGAATTAAAATGATAATAAAGTCAATGTCTTCAGTAAATGCAGGTCTTTGATTAAACCTTACTGATGAAACTATATATCTGCATTAAAGTTTTATACATGCCTAGTACTTGCTAGAATTTTCTTATTTTTAGTCAATTTTGTGTAAACAGTTTGCCTGTGTTGTATAGCAGGGTAGAATACATATAACTATACATAGAAATACACACATCTTGATTCCATACCCCTCTCTTCATAGGTACTAGCCTTAGTCTTGATTTGATTAAACATTTGTTTGTATTTAAGGCTGCATATATGATTTTATTTTAATTTTTTAAAGTATTGTAACAGAATTACAGAATCTACTCCGTTCCCTTGACTTGGATATTAGCTGGAAGTAAAAATTACGTAAAACTTACCATTTTGTGTTAATCAAATCCGTTATGTACTACTGTGTTTATATACAATTGAGTTAAAATGCTGAGAGGCCAGTCTACAAGATTCTTCCATTGAAGGTTCTTGCAACACTCACTTGTGGGACTTTAACTTGCAACATCATAGTAGTATCGTAAACAGATCTTCTTGCAAATGCACACATAAGATGGCTTTTCCATCAACCCTCATGAGTAACTCATACATGTAAAATAGCAGTCTGTTTTATTGATGAATTTTCTTTTTTCCCTTTCTCCGTTGGAATTACAGTATAAATCCCTTTGAGACCAATCTAAATATCCATCCTATACACCATATATCTGCTTCAGTAATGCTCCCATAAAGCCGTGCAAAATAAGCAAGTAACACCGTAGCATTATCCATTTTTACATTTTCTGGCTAGGTTTCCCTTAGCAACAGCCTGCTATTTTACGCATAATAATGGGACAGCTTTTTCTGTCTTTTGGGACTTGTAAGTGTAATACGCTCTTTGTCCATAGATGCAAATCAAAGCTAAACATATCATCTCACCACATTTTTATCAAACATTCATTAGAAATGTATTGGAGTGCATATGTCTATATGTAATTTGGTTATGTCTACAAAACCTTGTAATTCATGATTCCAACCTAGAATTTTACTTGTAATTCTAAAATGTCTGGATTCCACCTCTTCCTGTGTTTCCGGTAGACTGGAGAACTGTATATTCTAAATACAGTAGGCAGCTTCAGTTATTGCCCTTTTTTTTAACTTTTACTTTGTTTTGTTTTGACCTGTGATTTTAAACATGTTCTTTTACTTCCTCAGATGGACTTCACGGTTCTTCTGATATATGGGCTTCCTCAGGAGGTATTGGACAAGGAAGCTATGGGTCTTTACTGGGTGGTTCTCAGCCTTCCATCACCCAGCCTTCAGGGTTTAACAGTCTGCACCCTCATGAACGAATGGTGAGTATTTAAAACACAGCAAAATACTTCATTGTACTGTAATGTTATTTCACTACTAAAGAAAAATTAACAAGAAAAGCAGCCCCTCTTTTGCTGTTCTGCCGATGCAGTAGTTTTACATTTGATGACACTTGTAGGCTGCTATTGCTCAGAGCAGGTTATATAATTTTTTTTTTTTTATTATTTTTTTTGTAGCGTTGACCTTGTCTTTGAGGTAAACATTTGTAATTCTAAAAATTCCCAAATTCTCCATTATTGACACTTTTATCTCACCATTCACCATTATCACACTTATCTAATCGCAGTGTAATTCTGATTGAAGTCTGGTTCACAAAGTGTAGTTCTGAAATACTCCAGTAGATGGTGGCAAAATACTATTATCTACTGTTAAATAGTAAAACCCATTTCTAATAGCAAAATTGATAGTATCAGTGGGTTACCTTAGGGTTAGGGTGGGGTTATGGTAGGGTTAGATTTAGGGATAATGGTATTACAGTTAGGGGTAGCTGTAGGTTTAGGGTAAGCTATGGGTTAATGTTGATTTTAGGGTTAAAGATTGTGTGAGGTTAAGGGTAAGATTAGGATAGGCATATGGTTAGTGTTGGTATAGTTTTAGTGTACAAGTTGGTATAAGGTTAGCATTAACTAACAAAATGTAATTTAGATTCTGAACATATTGGGCATTTAACAATCCAATCGGAACTGATATATGAATCAATTTGGAGTTCTTTTAATTTGTTGCGTTGTATGTGTAAACCTTTTTATAAGCAAAAATGTGAAGGAAAAAAAAGTTTTTGCCTTTCCCCATTTTTAAAAATGTATTCCCTTGTAATGTTGTATTAGGTATACATATAGGATGTTAAATGAAATCCCTTTCTGTCTTTTACAAAAAATATGTATGGGGGTACTTTAAAGAGAAACCCTTACATTATGGTGGAACAAACCTATAGCTCATATTCAAGTTTTTTCTTTCTTCTCCTTTACACTTACAGGGCTTTCCAATGCATTCCGGTGAGGTCAATCCTGCTGTGTCCTCCAGCTTTTCATCTGCCCCTGCACAATATGGAGTCTCCAGCCACACACCTCCCATCAGTAGTGGTGACACAATGATTGGTATGTCAGGTTATTCATTGACTTTGTAATTCCACATGTGATACATGTACAATCTAGCTATAATTGTCAGTACATACTCTGTATCTCAAAATAGCCTAACCTTTATATTACATGATTTTCAAACGGTTTTAATTTGCAAAACCAAAATCATTCTGGAATGCAACATTTTCTTTTAAAGGGACACTCTGCACCATTATCATTTCATAACATTGATCTGGTAATGGTGCCTGGAGACCCCTGCTGCTACTCTTCCAGTGTTCAGTGTCAAACTGTTCTCGATTGGTTTGAAACCAAATTGAGGGACCTTGGATGAGCAGTGAGACTAAGTGTCAACTGTGCTCTCAGCCTATCTGTGCTGCCCATCGTGGGTTTGGATAGTTATGGCTAATGTGGAGTTGCACCTACCAACAGTCCCTATTTTATTTATTTATTTTTCTCTTCTCCAAGCTTCTGTCTCATTGTCTTGAGTTTGCTCCTACCACCAACCCACACAGCTCTAATGCAATATTAGATGTGCATGTGGTATCCCAATGTAGCTCAAGGCATGAAACACATGCACAGACCGCTTCCAAATGATGTGTTGTCCTCAATGGGGCTGGCCAGACCGTTTTAGCTATCCTGACATGCATTCAGGCTAGGCGAGGTCATGCCCCTTTTGCATCACCAGTGCTCCATAAGTCTGCTCACCTTGCAACTGGTGCAGGAAAACCCTCCTTTAGTGTTAAAACATTCAAAAACTGTATAACACTGAATTACAGGATGGTGCCACTTGACTCCTGGCACCATAAACACCTAAATGAGATGACGTGGTTATGGTGCCTAGGGTCACTTTAATGTACATTATTATTAAATGCATATATTATTAAAAATATTTTTTGAATGTATTATACAGTGGGCTCTATGTAAATGCTGAGATAGTAAAACTTGTAAATGGTCTTATTTCCTTGAATACATTGATGCAGTTTGTTTTGCATTCACCTGCAGGAAATCGAGGGACAGCTACAGGGAGCTCAGGAGATGCACTCGGAAAAGCATTAGCATCAGTAAGTGATTAATAGTTATTTAAAAACCTTGGGGGGCGGGCCTGACTCTCAAGATGGACAGACGTATCTGCTAGCAGCTCTGGCAATCAAGGACCATTAAACTGCTTCAAAGTGAAGAAATTACCCTGAAAACTGACAAACGCACTGCAAATTGCTTACCAAACAGTGAATAATTTGACACCGGTGGGCACCGATCTGGTGTGGAATCCCGTGGTTCGGAATTGCAAACTACAGAGCTTGCCAGCTTGTCGGTTGGGGGAGGCGGCCGCTCTCCCGATTGAAGCACAGCAACCTCAAGTGAGTTCTGTCACACCCCCTCTGGACCACGGGAAATCCTGGTCGCCACTGGTCAAGCTACTCCTCCGAAACAGAAAATCTCTGAATCCCATCTCCCTCACAAACATAAGGCTAAACCAAGATGGCCACCCCACCGCAGCATCTCCTAAGTCCAATGGGATCAGGAGGGCAGGTTTGGAGGGAAAGTTTTGTGGCAAGATTCAAGCAGCTCTGCCAGAACTTCTGGAATCGACTTGCCCGTCGAACGCCTGTACTTACGTCTCCAACAACCGCCGTGCCAGCTTGCTATCCCTCTTCTGGGCTAGGGGCCCACAGGGCGCTTCACCCACAGCAGTTCACACACCCGAAGGCTGGGACCTCTACATCCTTTGAATCCTGGACATCATGCAGCCTCTCCTAACAAGGACCGAACAGGATGTGGCAAGCGTGTCCGGCATATGGCACTGTTCCTGTGGCTTACACTGCTGGCTGACTAGTCTATGTATCATGACGTAAGGGGGGAGCAGAAGCAGAGCCTGGGTGCAAACTACCCTACCTACACTGGACTGTTAGTGGCATAGGCTGACTGATAAACAGAGTTGAAATCTCACCAACTCAAGATGGCATCTCCTAGAGTTTTCTGTTTACACATTATTTTGTAAGCATGCTAAATTCTAGACTCCAGTTCAGTGCCCTACTCCATGTGGTCAGCCAGCCTAGCAAAATTTATTTTATTTGTGCATCATGCATTGTATGACACACACTTGTTTGATTTTGTTTTGACTTAAAATAAAATAAAAAAAATTGCATATTTCTGACATGTCAGGTAGAATATTTACCACTTCTCTTGTTGCAAGTCATTACCAACTGGTGTATCTATCACTGCACTGAAGAAGAAAAAAATACCTTGTACAGCGCAATATGTTTATGCGCTGTAGTGTACGGTATCTCTGTAGCTCATAGTCCTTATGGTTGAACCATTGTTCGATGTAATGATGTATATAGTAATAATTTTGTTATATGTGTGCACTTGTTGGGTTAACCTCTTCGAAGCCTATTCCTTATTAGCCAGAAATACGTCCTGCATTGTAGTCGGAGCGAATGTCTCTGTTACATATTAATGCCCATCTCTTTATTTGCAGATTTATTCCCCAGATCATTCCAGCACAAACTTTTCCTCTAGCCCGTCCACACCCGTGGGATCTCCACAGGGAATGACAGGTTGGTGCTTGTGTGTATGAACAGTAAAGATGCATACATGGATTTTTATGCATGATTGATTAATGATAAAATAAATCGTTACATGAAGAGGACTGCTGTCTGAAGCCTTGTTATAATTCTTTTGGATTAGCCTTTCAAATTCTCATAAAATGTTAGAAAAATGTACAAATGATTTATGTACTTAAGTCGCCATTGTAGTCCACTTGAATATTTGTAGATAACTGTTTCTAAACTTAAAACGTATCCAAAAGACTTTAACCAAGGCCTAAGTCTGCTCTAATCACCTATTTACTTCCTGCATATTTTACTGGTGTTTCATCCTACTTTTAAATAAATACATTTTCTGTTGAGTGGCATTTAATACTAGGGAAACCTAGCAATGTTTTGGCTGACCTCACCTTTCTCATGGGACAGAAATTAAATGGAAATACTACACCATATTTAGTCCTCTTTTACATATTGATTTTTCTTGATTTGGATTTCAAGGATACTTTTAAGGCGCTGCTTCCGTCTGTTCCTTTTCCACACCATTCACGACGAGAATAGACTAGCTGCCTACCTGCGCTACCAATAAGCACTAGAGACTTTAACTTTTGAGCTATTATAGCCTTCTCATGCCTGAGAGACTTCTGTGTCGTCAGCTAAACTGTTACTATGTGTCCATACTAAAGGAAAACTATAGCGTTGTATTCATGTATTGATAGGTAAGCTTTTTATCTACTGCTTCCCTATGAGCTACATTTGACGTTCAACGTCCTTGTGTACTGCATTAGAACGTCACATGACCAAATTAAACGGTCTCGGTAGCAGCAGCACCCTCTAGTGGCTGTCAGGAAGTCAGTCAATTAAAACATTGCCATATCTACTAAGCCCGACTGCACCCAGACCAAGCCTTTGAGATTAACTGGTCTGGGTGGTCCTTTAAGCTTCACTCAATGTGATATAGTGTGCCTACTCATATAAAGGGTTGACTTGATTTCTAAGACAGGATTGTTAAAGAAATCATTACAATGCGTATTCATTGTTGGGGTACTCTCACCTAACAGATCCAACTCCTAATCAACTACAGGAACTTAAAAGGAAGATACCACACAATCTCTCCTATACATAAAGTGTTAAAATCTATACACTTAGTATATCAAACCACCAAATTAAAGAGGGAACAAAGAACCTCTTTGTACAATAACTTATGCAATGACCATGAGTTGTTGTTCTAGGATGCCTTTGTTTGTAAACTGCAATACACTAAATGCCTGTACCATGTCCCTACACTCATTGGAAAAGCAAGTTTATTAAGAAACGTTTCTATCTCTCTGAGATTAGAATACAATTTACATATGCTGTTAGTCACTTTAACCCTTTAAGGACCAAACTTCTGGAATAAAAGGGAATCATGACATGTCACACATGTCGTGTCCTTGAGGGGTTAAACAGGTTTGTGTTTGTTTTCTGCTGCTGTTTTGTTTTGGTTCTACCTGTGTTCCCAATGCATAATGATCACATTTGTTTATATACAGGGTCAGGGCAATGGCCCAGAGCCAGTGGTCCAGGAGCCCTTTCACCCAGTTATGACGCAACACTGCACACGTTGGTAAGTATGATTCGGGATAAGTGGGCTTGAAATAATTATTTTACTCTTTTTATATATTTAAATAATGTTTTTCCTCTGCTTGTTTATTTGCTGAGCTTTATTAATATCTTTATTATTTACTACAGCAAAGCAAGATGGAAGACCGTTTAGATGAGGCGATCCATGTGTTGAGTCGCCATGCTGTTGGTCAAGCTGGCTCCCTTTCGGGGGGCCACGAGGACATGCATACACTCCTGGGTGCAGCAGCTAATGTTTTAGGATCTGGTTTTCCCGCAGCAGTTCTTTCTCTGGCAAATCGGCATTCTATGGTGAGAGAAGGAACAAGTATAAACCTGCTTTTATGTAGACTGGGCTTCTCCAAGAAAATATGGTCCAGTCTTTGTCATTAGGAGGATATTTGTAATCAAGCCTCTGCTCATCGCAGCTGCAGTCAGTGGAATTATATTCCCACATCTTCTTTTTAAAGGATACATTTACGTTCTGCTAAAAATGAGCTTTTTATGCCTGCTGGACCCATGTTGTTGTTTTTCTCATGCAAGGTGAACGCCCATGCTGATGATGGTGCTCCCAGTATGCTTCACAACCAGGTGACACTACCCTCACAGCCAGGCTCGCAATCTGACCTCACCCGGGCACAAGATGCATACGCAGGTTAGTGGACTTAACCCCCCTAAATTACTACACATAATTTTGCATTTTATCATGGTTTGGAATTTTTTTTATTGTACTTTTTTCATTTATTTATTTATTTTCCTCATGACTAACCTTTAAATGAAACCGCAGTAGATCTGTATTTAAATTATAAAAGTATGATCTAAAAAAAGGAGACTTAAAGATGGGGATTGTGTTACTGTTTTTTTTTTTGGGGGGGAGGAGGGGAGTTTCTCTCTGCAAAGTGGTGTAAAGAGGGCTTTAGTTATGCTTTCTCAAATTATTGTTTTGAGCTCAGGACCATGTGTGCATTCCAGGTAGATGTTGTTTAGAAGGGTGGGTGTATTTTTAGGCAGATGAAGCATACACTTTAGCTTAAACGACATATGGAGTAACTCTACTGAGCCTTAGGTGATTGTGTAGGATAGTAGGCAGAGGACCAGAATGAAGCTGCCAAGTCCTTCATCCAATGCGAGGTGCTATTTGGAAGGCATTCGATAATGCCATGCATACCCTTTGCATCCCATAATTATCCAACATTTGCACCATGAGTAAGCAACTCCTAGTAGTCTGCTACATAATTATTTGAGCTGTTTGAGTCTTTTTTTTTTTTTTTTTCATTCTGGGGACTTTGTTGTATTTATCCAAGTTTGAGTATGTTAAAGCTTAAATAAAATTTGTTTCAATAATTTCTTCATAGAGCTCTTCCTCTTTCCCTAGGCCTTCCCTTTTTAGGGATTCTATTTTATTTTTATGTTCCGTTTATTCCATGTTGTTTAATAGAGGTCTCCAGACCCTTGTGTGTGTCAAGTGACATGACATTTAAGTTCAGTCCACTCACAACTAGGGTATACAATGCAAATGAGGGGTACAGAGTGGTAACAGAACATAAGCCATCACTGTAAATTCTAGTCGAGCAATATCTCCCCATGCAGATTTGAAAGGTTTTCTGTTACGGTGCCAAAATAGCATCCACTCCCACACAAGAATGAGACCTCCAATTAGGAACCTCTCTTTCTAGTTTATAGAAACAGATCTTATATATAGGGAAATATGGGATGAGTAGTTTATAACTAATGAGCAGTATCAGACATCACATTGAATGAGCTGACCTGCTCTTTAAGCTTATAGCAGCCATTATGCAGTTACAATCAATTTATACACAGCCCACTGTTCAGTGAATCTGGCCATGTTTCAGATCCAAAGACCAGTTGCTATGCGCAGGCCACTGCTTTCTCGGGGAGATGAGAGCGAGAGGCTTCTCCTTTGTGCACACCAGGTGACCTACAGATAGGGACATAAGTTGATATAAGCAACCCATAACAAAGTCCATAATCCACAATTCCTGTTTAGTGCATAATCTTTGCTGTATGTTGCAATTTTTTGTTTGTGAGTTTTGTTTTAGAATTTTAAAATAACTTTCCTTTGTCTACTTACACCTTCCTGAATTATTTTGAGATCGCTTAAATGGACTTCTTTGGCAGTTACAGATAAGTTTATGGGACTTATACAATCCATACTTTTGTAATGCAGTGTTTTTTCATGGAGTGTAGTCAACTATTTAACATTAAATATATTTAACAATGGACCCCATTGTGCAGGTCTCATAATTTGCCACCACAGAGTGTCCTGGCAAGGATGCAGTTTAAATACATATAGTCTATTCATTTACCAGTGCGGCATTCTGTACCATGAGTGTATGCATAGGTCTTCTATGAAAGTTTTTTTTTAAACTCTGATCATCTTTTTTCAGGGCTTCCTGGTTTGGTCAGGTCAGTGGTAGGTGCTATGGCCGATATCAAGCGAGAGAGTAAAGAGGATGAAGAGAACAGGTCGGTGGCAGATCTGTCAGATGATGAGAAGAAGGAATCAAAGTCACAGAGAAGTCGGACACGCTGCTCAATCAACAGGTCTCATTGAGCTCTGGGGGTCTAGGAGGGAGGAGGGTGTGTTGCACTGTGGGTGGATGTTATGATAAATATTTTTGAGTTATGTTCAAGTATATACATTTTTATTCCCTTGGGCTACAGAGCTTGCAATCTAAATCACACTAATTGGAATGTGGGCCAAGAAAGTATTTGGATGTAAAAAAAGTTGCACGTGTGTATACGTGTGTGTGTGTGCGCATGTGTGTATGTATGTGTGTATGTGTGTGTGTATATATAAATATATATTTATTAAAATTACCCTTGATGCCAACAATTCCCCCTTGCAATCCTAATCAACCCTCCCCCTCAGTCAAGACGAAGACGACGAAGACGACGATAACCTTCCACCAGAGCAAAAAGCTGAGCGTGAGAAGGAAAGACGGGTGGCTAATAATGCTCGTGAGCGACTTCGTGTGCGGGACATCAACGAGGCATTTAAGGAACTGGGAAGGATGTGCCAGCTGCACCTTAACAGTGAAAAGCCACAGACCAAGCTTCTGATCCTGCACCAGGCCGTCTCTGTCATACTCAGCCTGGAGCAGCAAGTGCGAGGTGAGTGGGACCACGGGGAGAGTGGTGGGGCACGGATCTGTCTGTCTCTCCCTCACTCCACCTCCTCTTTCTCTCCCCTTCAATCCGGAGATATACATGCAGTTTCCCTTCCTACTACAGCCTTGCTTCTGGACAACGCATGTATATTTTCCTACCCCTTCTTGCTTGCGATGTATTGTAATGTTCTTTTTTGCTTTGTTTTGGGATGTATTAGGGGGTGTGTGTACTTAAGGTCTTGCATGTCCTGCATGATATTCATTACATTGGACACATTCCCTTGGTCTCATGACTTTAATTAGCCTGACGGGAAAGAAGACGCTCTGAATAGTAGTGTCCTTTCTTTGTTCACAGTTTACAAACTAAAACTTACAAAGATAGTTGAACTTTATACCTTCACCTTTCTATTGTTGAGGAGTTCGTTTTTGTTTGTTTTATTTTGTTAAACTTATTCCATCTATATTAACCATTAGATTTCTTATTTAATGTTCCTCTGTCTGCTGAAATACAAAAAAACACATCTACCTGTAAAATTGGGGAGAAATTTTTCCAATAGTCTGAAATTAATTTTATAATAATCAGCATTAAGAGACTGAGGCCTGTTGACAAAGCCTACTGGCAAGAAAGGACTAACAGCCTCTGGTGCGCAAAAGACACAGCATACAAATGTATATGGCGCCCTTGTGTGTGTTTTGCAGACTGTGCATGCTTTTGCCTCGTCAGCTTTTTGAGGGTATCTCTTCCGCTCTCTGCAATCTTGCTTTGTGCTTAGAATCTGTTTAACTTTGGTGCCGTGTCTGGGCACCTCTCCCACAACTATCTGTTATTTTGACCGCTCACATAAGGGGGAGCTGGTTATTTTCAGTCTCTGCTTCCTACCTTTTGTAAAAGTCTTTATACAAAGGGAAAAGTATAATTTTATTTCATCCTGTCTACATCACTTCATCTTCTACTTTTTTTTTTTTTTTTCCTCCCAAACCTTCTTACCCATTCCAGACCTGTCATTTCCTTTCCTCACAGACAGCCTGCAACCCCAGCTCCCTTCGTCCTTGCTCCCCTCTTCTCCACACCCTGTCAAACTGACCTTGCACTTGTTGCTCCTTCAAGTCGACAGCTCAGTGGAACTTGAAAGTGCTGTTACATGCTGCCCCAAACTTGATTTACAAACGAAAAACCATACTAAAGTTGGTCCGGGTTGCACTCCATGCGTAACAGAATGGGGAAGTGTAAGGAAAGCGTGTACATTTTTACACCTACATTTTATAGTGTTTTAGTTTAGAATATTGAATTCAGCTGACTGTTCCTTCTACACATTAACCTTTACTGGTTATAGTGTGCGTATGTTAGTGCATGCAAGTATGTTTTATGTATGTCACATTACAAAGAACTGTTGGCTGAGAAGATAGAATCTTTCGAGATTTTCTGTTCTGCAGCATTTGGGAAATTTCTTCTTTACTCATGGAAACTAGATATTTCCCTGGATCAACAAAATACTGTTAAAGGGAAGCTCCAAGCACCATAACCACTACAGATCGATGTAGTGATTATGGAGCCAAGCATTCCCTGATTGCTTCCCAGAGTAAATAGATGAACTGTCTCAAAACTCCTTGCAAACTTGAGGTTCATCAGGTGCCCGCTACCACCTCTTCTCTGGATGGTAGACATCAGCAAAGCAGTGCTTAGTTACCGTAATTAAGTCAGAGCACTCAATTGGCACACTCTGCCAATGAGCTGACCCTACACTGCACTCCATAAAGCCCATCAGATCCCAGTCAAATTGTTTAACCTCTCTCAAATGGTTTTCCTACTTACCCTAGGAGGACACCCTGGCACCATGACCTCTATTTGTATTGGTTATGTTCTTTGGAGTGGTCTTTTAATGGTTATATTATAAGCCAGGCATTTGTTGTCAAGTATAACATGGTGTCACCTTATAGATATTAATTTTGTACTCAATGTTGAGGTTTGGTAGTGCAGCTATAGATCAAGACATTCATTATTTTGCTTTTGTTTTTTGTTTTTTTGTTTTGTCTGCATTTGGTTTTACTTACTGCGTAGGAGTAAATCTTACAAATGTAGCTGAATCCTGCAATTCCTAGTATACACACAAATGCTAGAAACTTTGGGATATTTCTGACATTTTTTGTTTAGATAATGCTATTGGATCCCAGCCAGGCACTGTAAATACGATTTCTTTAAGTTAGATGATGCTATCCTTTTAAAACTAAATTTTCCCCTTTGTTAGTGTTTTTGTTAATTTCAGTGTGTGTGTGGGTATTGGTACACAGTGTTTGTGTTTGCTGTAAGTGATCATGCAGATGCATCATACAGTTGTGGCTTTTTCCAATAGTTTTATAAAGGGGCAGTGTTTGTTTTAATGTGTGTCCCCCACCCCCCAACATACTGTCCACAGAAAAATAAACCCACAATCTTGGATGCACAGCTGTTTTTGCTCAGAATTCACCATTGATGTCTTCCTCCCCCAAGCCAATTCCTTTTTGCTCTGGATGGAACAGGATATTTATCAGTGTGTCTAAAGCTCTTCCTGGCGTGTTATCCATTGGAGTTTCCAAATGTAGAAACTACCTCTTTGCCCCAGCCCTATAGCTAGCTCTCTAAGTGGTTATGGAAATAATTGTGTGGGTGCCATTCCCCTGATTTGTCGAAAAGTTTTGAAGTGATCTGACAAAAAGTGATGTTCTCCTGCCACATAGAGCCTGGCCCCTCTTCTACCTCTTGGCTAATGCAGTACTGAAAGGCTCCATACACCCATTCATCTTATTGCTGCAAGGATGGGCTTGTGATTACTGTGTTAACCTTCTCCAGCACTTTCGACCAGCAATTGCCACCCCAACGTTAAACTAATGGGGAAGTTAATTACCACACTAGCCAAGCCACAGCAGAGGGATCAGGCTTTAGGTCACAAGATAGCCTATAATTGCCACCAAAACTTGGATAGCTAATGAAATAGTTCACTTTAACGTTACCCATGCAGCAGCTGAAGGTCCTGGTTGTAAGTGCTGAGAGAACCAGTTTGTGTACTCAGTGACTCTTTGCAACAGAACTACATCAATAAGGTGTAGATGGTTATGGTGGCCCATTAAATGAATAGAATGTTTGAGATTGTGTATGGTGCTGTACAGATCCCTTTGCTTACTGAGGGCAGACTTATAAAGTGAATATTATGATAAAATATATAGTATGCATAAACCTAAATCTAATTTTTATTTATATAACAAGACTTGGTGGTCCAGCCACATTAATAGAAATTATTGTAGGACCAATGATCATATTCTCGTTGTGGAATATATATATATATATATATATATATATAATTTTTTTTTTACCAAGCATTCAAATGGGAGTGGGTTGGTCATTATTATGTATAATTAAAAATCAATTTGAGATTCACTTTATAACTCTTATGCAAGGCATCTGACATTTCTGTAAGTGGATTTCAGTGTGAGTGTTTGTATGTATGTATGTATACAATTTGTTTTGCATGTACATATACACACGAATAATAATTAGTTTATGTATCAACACTGTTATTTATTTAAAAAATATACTGTAAACCTACTTACTGTTTATACTTTTGCTTGTGATAGTGCTTATTTGATATCTTTAAGCACTGTGCATAACTTCAGTATTTAAAGGGAACACTTGAGAACAGTCTAGGTGACCGGCCCCAGCTCTTGCAGGAAGGGGAACAAAAGTCTTGCCCTCCTGATCTTCCTTGCACCGCTGGTCTTTGTAGCTTACCCAGCCTCCTTGGATGAGATCATAGAAATCTATTATTTCAGCCAATCCAATGCTTTCCAACAGAAATTTCTGTATTGCACTATACTTGTACAAGTGCTATTTCTGCTCAGGATAATGAAAATTATGTTCAAGAGCATCTATGTGACTAAATGTGATAGAAACAGTAAGAATTATTAACTATCCATTAAAAGTTTCATGAGTGCTTTCCTACACAATGTTAATGGAGTAAAAAATGTAAGCCATTAGTCCTAACAAATTACAAGATTTCAGGAGAGCCTTCCCATCACAAGCATTTTTTAATTTCTCCTGAAAGTTTGTTATTGCAAAGTTCTGTTACTACAAAAAAAATCTTACAAGATGGTAATTTCAGCTGTTTTACATCTGCACAATTGTGTGTACACACACACACACCCCTACACCTAATGGGGTGTGTTTATCAAAGCAGATTAAATCTGAATTCCAACATCTGGGCTGAAATAACTGCTCGGGAGAAAAAAAAATACAGTTAAAGGGACACTATAGTCACCAGAACAACTACAGCTTATTGCATTTGTTCTGGTGAGTAGAATCATTACCTTCAGGCTTTTTGCTGTAAACACTGTCTTTTCAGAGAAAATGCAGTGTTTACATTACAGCCTAGTGATAACTTCACTGGCCACTCCTCAGATAAGTGTTAGAGATCCTTCCTGTGTCATGGCTGCCTAAAATGCATCCAAACATTCAGTATCTCCTCCCTCTGCATGCAGACACTGAACTTTCCTCATAGAGATTCATTGATTCAATTCATCTCTATGAGGGGATGCTGATTGGTCAGGGCTGTGTTTGAATTGTGCCGGCTCTGCCCCTGATCTGCCTCTTTGTCAGTCTCAGCCAATCCTATGGGGAAGCATTGTGATTGGATCAGGCTACCATTTCTGATGTCAGCAGACTGCTTTTTTTTCTGAAGCAAACAGTATGCAGAGCTACAGCTTCAGGCAGGGAGGGGGGCAGAGTGGCTAGATGGTGGTTTTAACCCTAAAAGGTCAGGAATACATGTTTGTGTTCCTGACCCTATTGTGCTCCTTTAAGAATTTGTTCACTGAAATTCAAAGTTTAGACTGTAAGCTAGTTTGAGCAGGTTCTTCATCAATCTAGAGTTCATGTAGCATTGTTCTAGTTATCTTATTTATTTATTGTCTTGTTGTAATTGTCATATTTATTAATTATCCCCCTTTTATAATATTGTAAAGCGCTGTGGATTAAGGTGGCGCTATACAAATGCCAAAAATAATAGTGAAATATCCTTGATTTTGTGCGGGAATTTAGACCTTTTTTTTTTTTTTTTACTAATCCCACAAATCGTGTCCTAGCTCAGATCGCATGCACAGTGTTTGCCCATAGTCATGATCTTGTTAATATACACTTTTTGTGTTTTACATCAAAGTCCTTTAATAGAGGAGTTTCTGATCATGTCTTGTGGCATGTGAGGAAAGCAATTTTCTTACCACTTGGTATAGAAAGCTAATTTTCAAGCAAAAAAGAAAGAAAACTAGTCTGTACCTCGTAGATGCTAAAAATATCAAACAAGTGAACATGTGTATATACACCATCAACAGAAAAAGCTAAAGTATTAACACTAATCAGGTTCACGGTAGTTTGATACTCTATGTAGGTGCGAATACACATGTGTAAGTATATTTGTGCATTGTGCACAAGATGAAATGTGTGGTTTTAATATACACACAGAATGTATATACTTGACCATAACCTATTTTGTGTGTGTGTGTGTGTGTGTTTATAGGTATGGCTTTATAAACATACAATGCATGTGTGTACAAGTATATATGACGGTGCTACTTAGCTCTATATCTAGATATAGATAATATACTTGGACACTAATTTGGCACCCCTGGCAATGAAAGGTTTTATTGGGGTTCAGAGCACCCCTTCCCCATTTAACCGTTCATTCTCCTGGGGTCCAGCAGTGGAGGCAGCAGTAAGGAGGAGGGAAGCAACGTGGAGGAAAAAGACGTGCGAGATCGTGAAAGGCGGATGTCAAACAATGCGCGGGAGAGGGTGCGTGTCCGTGACATCAATGAGGCTTTCAAGGAGCTGGGCCGCATGGTGCAGATGCATCTGAAAGCGGACAAGGCCCAAACCAAACTCATTATTCTACAACAAGCCGTGCAGGTCATAATGACCCTGGAGCAGCAAGTGCGAGGTATCCTCCCACCTTTTCCACCCATACTGTCCATTGCCAGCCCTGCCTTCTCTGCCTCCTGTTCTTGTATTTCCCTGTCTGCCATCTTTGATCTATGAATCACATACATTTCTGAAGGTCTGACCTGCCCTCTCCATCTCCTTTCCTTCAAAACATAATTTTTACACTTCTATCATACCAACACAATCTTAGCAATTTATTGTCAACTCACCTAGTTAATCCAGGACAACTAAATTGAAACCCATTTCTAGGCTCTCAATGTTATGCCGAAAAACTCACATGACATAGGTTGAAACTTTTTTTATTTAGATATGCGGATATTTATTTATTTTTGTATCTGTCTGAAGCTCTCTAACGGCTCTGTTATGGACTGTATTTCTTGTGACTGGTACATTTGTCTTGGCTTTCTTTCAAGACACACTCCTTTTTACTGCAAAATGTCGGTTTTCTCACAAATCATCAAGCAATGTGCTGTGAGTGAAAAATTTGCATCTTCTATCACTGTGCACCTATAGCACCTGCCAGGCTGCTTTCCGCTTGCATAGACAGATGGATATCGATGCATAACACTGAATAGTGTGTTGTAATGAGATAATGCCATTGAAGGTTTCTGAAGACCCCAAACATCTGGTTAGATGGTTAATAACTGTCCCTAGTTGCCTAGGTGGCATTACATTTCCTTCATGCACACATCAGCATTATCTGATTTTTAGGGTAGAGGTTATTTTATTCTCTTCACTGTATCCCAAACAACAAAGTGTGTTTTAAGTACTCCTGTTAGTGTAAAGGCAAACTTTGTAGGTGAGTACTACAGTCACCAGAACTACAGCTTCATATAGTATTTTTGGTGTTTACTGCTTGTCACTGCAGGCTTTTTAATGAAAACATTTACAATACTGCTTAGTAACACCTTTTCTATATCTCTATGGGGAACGTTCAGTGTCTCCATGCAGTGCTGCACATTGTGCACCACTGACCCAGAAAGCACCACTAGTGGGTCAGTGGTGCACAATGTGCAGCACTGACACTCAGCATCTCCACGCACTGCATGGAGACACTGAACGTTCCTCATAGAGATGTATTTATTTAATGCATCACTGAGGACATGCAGATTTTCTGTGCATGCTCAGTAGCCTCCAAATGCTGTCCTATGGGAAAACATTGGATTTGCTGAGATTGTCAAGTTTGATAATCTCAGCCCAAGCGGATGTTTGTGTTCCTGTCACTATAGTGTTCCTTTAAGAAATTCTATGTGATCTATCAGCTAATTGAAGTGGTCTGCATGCTGTGTCCCTTTTGCAGCTAGTGCTGCAATGTAAAACATTGCCTTTCCAGAGAACTGCAATGTTTATATTGGAGCACTAAGTCTGAATAATGCTTTGCTATGGGGAGGTCTAATGTGCGCGCCGCCATTGCAGCGCATGCACATTAGGTCTCCCCCGCCGGCTGACGTCAGAAGGGGGAGGAGCGTGGGCGAATCCTGAGTCCTCGGCGCTGGTTTCGGGTAAGTAGCTGATTGGGTTTTAACACCTTCAGTGACATGGATGGGAAGTAGGGAGGGGGGTACTCAATGATTCTCTAGTACCAGGGAAACTGGTTTCTTTTCCTGGCACCGGACAATACCTTTAAAGGGTGTGTTAGTGTAGCGTTATTCTTTCCGCTTAGGGCAAATATTTTATTTTATTTTTTTTGTCTCCCTCAACTATTTCTGGTGGATTTGAGACTGACTCTTTGGTTGGAGGCAGTGCCAGTTGGGGACTGAAGAAGTGTGTTAATTTTTTTTTATTTTTTTTTTTTTTTTTATAAATTGATTTTACGCTCATGGCCAAATTCCTTATAAGAGTTTGCAACGTTTTTATAGGAAAACCAATATCTGCCTTTGAGATGAATGCAGCAAGATGAGTTGTTAGCTTAGTTTACCTTTACAGTGTCAGGGAACTTGCCTGTGCCCATTACAGTGTGACTAAAATGAGAAAAAAGTTTATTTAACAATGCTCATTGAAGTTTGACCAAGCACGTGTAACTTTTTAGATTTTATTTTGAATGCCTCCCTTAATTTAATTTTTTTTTTTTAGCTTGTGTCTTTGCATAATTTGCAGGTAATTGATAGCATCCAAACAAAAATGGCAAAAAACACACTACATTTCCACCCCCCCCTCCCCTATAATCATAAAAGCGCTTAATGAAATAATCTGCCATGGACCTTTTTCTCATAAACTTCAACATTTTATTTATTTTTACTCACCCTACAAATCTATCCTCTCTATATTTCTCCACAATTGGGCTATTACATTCTTATCTTTATTTTCAATGTATGTGCTTCTTAAAATGATTTTATCACTTTCTTGTATGATTACATCAGAGTTGGGGTAATGATGATTTGTGATAAGGAGTTTCTGAATATATAATGTTGGGCTTACTGTTATTGGAACAAATGTAAAATCTGAAACCGTTTCCCGGTTCACAAGACAGATTGACCGCTTTGTAGCTGCCATATTGTTTCATTGATGGGGTTCTGAGGGAAGCCTTCCTTTATGCCCTGGTTTGAAAAAGAATTTGCTAAAACCACTTTAAATACCATTCTCTTGACCTATATTAAATCCAAACTCCATGAATAGACTCAAGACCCTAGTGAAAACTAGACTCTGTACTCCGTGGTTCTTTGGAATGTGGTGTTAGTGATTCTAGAGATGGTCTTAAAAGGATCTGCAATATAAAGATAAAAAAAATTGTCCAAATGTTACATATTTCATTGAGGTGCGGGTTCCCAATCCCACTGGCCACATATTATTTAATAATGATGTGCCTTTTCTCTCAGGCACGATCCCACTAAAAAAATATTAAGAGCTTCCTACCTCTTCACCCTTATGTGAAATTAGTATCAGTAAATGGGAGAATTGTTTCCTAATATTTGCAATTTCAAGTGCTGTCAACATAGGTTTATTTTATTTGCATCTCGGCTTTGTTTTAGCTGGCTTGCACTGTCTATTTTTATTCATTTTTCTTTTTTGATTTTTTCTTTTTTCCTCCCCAAAGTTCTACTCCCTAGTTCCTAAAATTTGTCATATTCAATTGATTACTGTACACACTTGTCCCACTACCTATTTGTTGCATGGCGCAGCTCATATATGTGCTTTTTGCCTCTGGTTCAAGACCTAGTTCTACCTACTGACTGCTTTCTCATACAGAGCGGAATCTGAATCCTAAGGCTGCCTGTCTGAAGAGGCGTGAGGAAGAAAAAGTATCAGGTGTTGACCCCCAGATGGCGCTTTCTGGTGGACACCCAGGTCTGGGGGACTCTCACAACCCTGTGGGACACATGTGAGGTAGGTGTACAAACAAAGATATGAGCTTTAATGTTATACTTGATCGTACTTACTATTTCATAAAATTTGTGCAGCAGTACGGACTGGATGCACTGAAACATTGAAGTGATACTGTAGTCACCAAATCAAATTTAGTTTAATGAAGCAATTCTTGTGTATTGAGCATGCCTCTGGAGCAAGCTTCCCTAAACTCCAGCCCTTCAGATGTTGCTTAACCACAACTCCCATGATTCTCAGCCTCTTTCATTCGTAGAATCATGGGAGCTGTAGTTCAGCAACATCTGGAGGGCTGGAGTTTTGCTGCACAATTATTTGCCATTTAGGAGGTAAATCACTTGTTTCAGTTATGCAGCCCTTGCCAGACCTCCTCTGGCTGTGACTGACAGTCTGCATGGAAACAAAACGCTTTTCACTTTTAACTTTTTAGATGTTTTTATCTCTTGCTCTGCAAATTGAACTCTAATTACATACAGGAGCCTCCTGTAGGCTCTAGCAAGTATTAAAGGACCACTATAGTGCCAGGAAAACATACTCGTTTTCCTGGCACTATAGTGCCCCGAGGGTGCCCCCACCCTCAGGGTCCCCCTCCCGCCCAGCTCTGGAAGGGGTTAAAACTTACCTTTTTCCAGCGCTGGACGGGGCGCTCTCCTCCGATCCTCCTCCTCTCCGCCCATTCGGCTGGATGCGCACGCGTGGCAAGAGCTGCGCGTGCATTCAGCCGGTCGCATAGGAAAGCATTTACAATGCTTTCCTATGGACGCTTGCGTGCTCTCACTGATTTTCACAGTGAGAAGCACGCAAGCGCCTCTAGCGGCTGTCAATGAGACAGCAGCTAGAGGCTTTGGGGGAAGGCTTAACCCATTCATAAACATAGCAGTTCCTCTGAAACTGCTATGTTTATAAAAGAATGGGTTAAGCCTAGCTGGACCTGGCACCCAGACCACTTCATTAAGCTGAAGTGGTCTGGGTGCCTGGAGTTGTCCTTTAAGAGAGCAGGATGGAGGAAAAGAATTTGCAATAAAGCAAGTGTAGACATTAGATGAGTCTTTACGAAGGCTGTGTAAGTCGCATCCAGGTAGATGTGCCTACAGCTGCATAAACAAGTGACAGTTGCATGATCTATACACCAAAACTCATTCATTAAGCTGAAGTTGTTTTGGTGACTTTGATGTACTGTTTTCCTGAAACAAATATTGTTCTAAATCCAGTTTTGATTTATTTTCTCTTCTCGTTCCACAGTTAAAATTGCAAGCTGGAGCATTTTCCTACAATTCCTTCGGGTCTTTATACAATTATAACTTTGTTTTTTACATTTTTTTTTCTTTCTTTGGAAAAAAAAAAAACTCCACGACACGAAAGTCTTTGTGGCCTTGACTATATTTTCCTGAGATGTGGACTCTCAAGACGGAATTTTCCAACAGGAAAAAAGAAAAGACAAAAAATTTACTCTGACATATCCTCTTAGGACTTCTATAAAGGAGAAGAGAGATGTCATGAGAAATTGCCTTAATTAAAAACGAAAACGCAATGACTTATTTAAAGATGATGGATTTGGTAGTATCGTGGTGAAAACAAGCCCGTGTTCTCTCCACCCCTTGAATATTATCGGGGAGCAAGGATATTTTTTTCCCTGACCTTGTGCCTACACTTCAAAAAGAAAAACAAGTGACTTTTCCCCCTTTTCTCAATTTTTTTTTTTTTTCTTTTCTTTCCTTTTTAAAAAAAAAAAAAAGCAAAAAAACCTAATGGAATAAAAAAAAGAAAAGATAGACATCAGAGAGATGTTTTTAACCTTAGAACAAAATAGATTTTTTTCCTACAATAATTTTTTTTATAAAACAAAATGCAGAATGCAGAACAAAAAAAAAATCTAAAAAATGTATGAGGGGTTTAATTCCTTACCGTTGACCCTATTCTTAATTTTAGCTGTCCACACTGCAGAGCCTTCCCACAAATCTTCAGTCCCCCCATTCTGTATCCCTACATATGTTAGACCTTGTCAGACCCCACCACCCTCTCCACCGCCCTGGATGTAGACCTCTACCCTTCCAGTTGCTGTTTTTGTTTTTTGTTTTTCAAAGGCTATTAGGAACTGTCTCTCCTTTGATTTCACAACTGTAATAATGCATCCCTTATAACATATGTTGCTTACTCTGGTTTGTTTCTGCCAGAGGAGTTGGCAAGAATTATTTAGAACCACTCCGTATGTGATTTTTATTTTGTTTTCGTAGATGTTTGTCTATTTGATGTCTAGGGTAAGCTTGGAACCTTCAAATACATGGGGAAATACAATTAAACCTTAGGAGCTACTAAATTCTTATTAGGAGTCACAGAATTTGTATTTCTTTAAGAGGCCAGTATTCCCAGATTGTGAAAAGGGCAAATGTGTTGACCTATAAATCAGCATAACTAAGAATGGAACATTTCTGGATCTTGGTGACGACAAAATGTTTTTGACTCCTTTACTCTTTCATAATTTTCCACATTGAACTATTGCAGTGTAGAAATTTACACCTCTTCCTCATATCAGTATAAATATTGCATGCTACTTTAGGGCACATTAACAAAGGGTCTGTATTTGAACTGACAAAAAAATTAAATTTAAAAAAAAAAATAAAAAGTCGTTGCCAAGAAAAAGTTCCGTAGTGCTCTAGCATTGGTTATATATATATTTTTTATTTTTTTTTGTATATTGGACGTAATTGGAAGCACCTGGACAGAAATAGTGATCAGATAGTGTCAATTTTTTTTTATATCTCTGTAAACATGTGCATATGAATGTGTATGTAATTTCCCACCCACCGTACATAAATGTTTATAAAGTATAATTCCAGCCCTACTACTTTGTGATATAGGCTCTGCTAACAGCCACTGTTTTAACAGAACTTTACACATTTCAGATACCCTCTCCCCGTTCTCTCTGACAGAGGGCTGTGTGCTAGTATAGAAAATGTAGCATTAAAATCTTAGGGCAATATTCCCTTTATTTTTGTAGAAATATGTGGGAGGGAGGGGAAGAATTTGTGGTTTTGGAATATTTGTGGAAAACTGCCTTGAATCATAAATATAAATATATAAATATATATAATTTTCTTTTTTTTTTTTTCTTCTTTTTTTTTTATGTTAAACCTGCCTTTTCTGACAACAACTTCAGCTTTGTTTTAAAGGGAAATTATCATTAAAAAGTTATTTGGCTAAGGATGATACTGTACCCACTTTGGCGTTTTTAAAAGTGATGTTGCTATGCGTGTTTTTGGGTTGTTTTTGTTTTTTTGTTTTTTTAATCCACACACTGCATCAAGCTTTGCCATGTGAAACCACAATGTGTTTCCATCTGTGTTTTTTTTTTTTTTCCTCTTCATTTCCCTTTTTATAATATTTTGTCTGCTATGCAGTAACATACTGTGAGGTTATCCTCTGCAGAGTGTAATTTTTAGTAGTATACCTGCATCATCTGAGCAAAGTTAATGGTATAAATCTCTGGAAATGGACAATTATTCAAGGAAAAATACTCACTGTGCACAAGGAAATATTGGCCTTCATCTCCCAGGTACCATGCTAAAATAGGTCTACACTTTGTAATGTATTTAAAACAAAGACTTAAATCCTCTTAATAGTTGTTTTTTATTTTTTATTTATAGGGAACCACTACATGAATTTATGGTGTGGTTAATTGTGTTGTTCTCCTTACAAGACAAAACACAGATTCCATTTCTCTAAAATTAACAAATTACACATTACACCATCCAGAGATCAACCTATGAAAGAAAACATTATTTTCTTTTGATATTGTGTCCAAAAGTGAATACTAGATTTTTGATTTTGGGTTTTTTTTCCCCCAGAGAATATAATAGTATCCCACTATTCTACAGCATCAAGGCAGTGAATGTGAAGGCCTTATTACCCCATGTTAAATAACCACAAAATAAAGTATTTTAGAGTAAAGACACTTATTTTTGTTGAAGAAGAAACACAAACTTAAAGTGCATTGTGTTTCTTGAGTGCCTCAGATATTCTCATTTTTGTCTTTTTGTTTTATTTTTTGTTTTTTTGTTTTTTAAATAATTTTATACAAGTGTCAAATCAGCTGGCTGGATTATTTGGAATTTTTAATAATAATAAAAAATAATCCTAACTTTTTTAAGTAGGTTTTGAGAACTGTCTTGTATATATACCTGTGTTGTAGCAATACATGTAAGCTTTTATAACTATATAACTTCATGAATCCCAGTCTTTCAGATGTTGTATACCGATGAATGATAAAAAAAATAAAATAAACAAATTTAAAAAAAAAAACATGTAATAAAGGGTTTACCTTATACTAAATGCAGGACTTGTATATTCAATACACAAGTACATTGTACATTTTAAGAAAACAGGTAGTGCATTGCACTAAAACATATACCTATCCTTTATTTTTATTTATTTTTACAATACAATCATGCACTTCCTTTTTAGTTCCTATGTCATAAAATTTTTATGAAGTATTAACTTTTAAAGAATCTGAATGTAGTAAATGTCTTTTTTAATGTTTATGCATCACTCAAAGTACCATAACCACTACGTATTTCTGGTGGTTATTGTGCCATGAGGCTTTGTCTATTATCCTCTTGTTTTTGGTCAAATCTTTTGAATGTTTCACAAAAAAATGTGCTTTCCCAGCCTCACAAACGCCAGCTACAGAGGTTATGTGGCAGATTCACGATTAACTGTCCAAAACTGGCCAACCTTTGGCAGAAAAGATGGGATTTAAGTCAAGAGCCTGGACTTTAGTGCCACAGAGAGCCCCAAAATTCGACATTTGAAAACAGCTTGACAGAAAATAGCGGACCAGAGATGCGGCACCATAACTATAATGAGCTCTAGTAACTATGGTGTGAAGAATCGTCATTGCTACAGTGACTTGACATGAATAGTCCTTATGGTTTTGTTGTCCAATCCATCCCTTTACACTCATACATACACCCTGCCTTCAGAGGAAATTTTCATGTAATATCCTATCTGGTAATATAGTAATAAGGATTAGTTAGGACTTCTTTTATTTATTTATTTTTACAGTTCCACTTGGTAGTAAGCAGTGTGAAAGGAGGATTACATTTCACCATAGGCTTATTGAGCTATTTAGCTTTACATTACCACTAACATTCTGCAGTGATTGTCTCCTCTGTGAGTGTTGAACAACTAAGGTGCAGCTGGGCATGGAATGCATGCAATCTTCTGCCACATCATTTAATAAGGTAGGTGACTTTCCTTGTAAGTTACAATGAAAACTTATCTGGACAATGTCTTCTTCCAAGACCCATAGAGGGCTTGCCTTTGAGAATTTGTTTATGGGAGGGATTCTGTACGTGTTTATAGCTTTTCTCTGCAGAAAGCATTAATTAAGGACTTGACCAATTGGGTCTCTTTAAGACCCACGACCAAACGTGGACAATATACTCAATTTTCCGTTTTGTTTCTTAAGTCATAATGCTGTAGTGCTTCTGGTGACTGTAGTATCCATTTAATGTGAGGTAAATTAGAGATTAGTGCCACTAATAATATATGATTGCCTACTTACCACCAGATGAGGACAAGAGGCTGATGATGGGCTCAGTCTGGCTCCACAGGTCTGGTGTAGAAGAGGCTCGCTGGAGACTGTTTTTTAACAGTGCTCACAACAATTAACTAACAGGAAGCAGCTCCATTTTTGTAGGGCTCCTTACACAGCTCAAGGTCTGGGCCCCCAGGTCTTGACCGTGAGTATGCCTACAATGCCCACCCATGAGTTCTCTCACAGGAAGTGGAGTGTATGTGTGTGTGTGTTCTTATAGAATGTAGTGTATAGGGATACCAATTTCTGTAAGGGATGTAATGTGTTTATAGGGGATGCAGTGTGTGTGTTTTGCGTGTAAGGAATGCATTGTATGTTTCTGGGTGTGTGTAAGGGATGCAAGGTGTGTTTCTGTGTATGTAATTGAAAGCAGTGTGTGTCTGTAAGGGGTGCATTGATTGTGTAAGAGATGCATTGAAGAATGAGTGTTTGTGTGAACGTAAGGGATGCATTGTGTGTTTTGGATGTTTCTGTGTGTGTGTGTGTGTGGGGGAATGCATTGTGTATGTGTGTAGTGTAAAAGAGAGGGTTTGTGGGGTAGGATAGGGACTGAGAGGGGAGCAACTCTTTATTTTTTCTTAGTGCTCTCTCCTCCTGTCCCTCCTAGTTCTCCCCTTCTGTCTCTTAGTGCTCTACCTTGGCCCCCTGTC